AGCATGGAAATCTCAAGGTTGCAATGGTGACAGTATTTGTGAGAAATATCAAATAGTTGGAAATACTATATATATATATATATAGTAAGGTTATGTATATATGACGAATAAATTAAATTCAAAACACGAGGAGTTCAGTGTCCTTGATGCTTGACAAATCACTGTGCGCGCGCGCTCGCACATGGCGAACTCGATCGGCGGGAGGGAAATAATGCATTATTTTGTCTCTCTCACATTTCCATTCATGTTTAGAGCCTCTTTTAAAATGTTTTTATTTTATTATCTTAAAAATTAATATTTTATAAAACATATTTTGAAAATAAAAAATAAAAAAATGAGTGTTTTTTTTATTTCTTTTATTCTCCAAAACAATAATTTCAAATATTTAAAAATATTTTTGCTTTTCTATTTTTGATAATAATATTTTATTTTTTTATTCTTCAAAATACTTTTTAAAAAATATTATTAAATAGATTTTTTTATTTTTTAATTTTGGTGAATAGAAAACTATTCTTAAAACAAGTTGTTAAAAAAGTCCTTAATTTCCAATCACCTCATTTTTAACATTCGAGGACGGAAAATTAAACAAACAAGTGATCAATTGCACTAATAAACTATGGAACTTCTTGTGATTCTATTTATTGACATTTTCCTCATGTTAATTTTACCAGTTTTTTTTTTATAACATCGCGTCACTAAGCAAGGATAGTACTGTGAATTAAAGTAGGAGGACCAAAGAGGATTCTGTCAATCTATGGATGATGCTTTTCATATGATAATGTAACAGCCACTTTGATGGAGTTTTGGAAAGCAACAAAGGCTCAAGATATTGTCAGATACCTATATAGGTGTCTTTTAAGTAAAATTAAGTGATCCATTGAAAACAAAAGCAAAAACACAGCCCCCACCATCCCGGATCAGATATCAATATATTGGAGTTCCAGCTCAAGGGAGCTTGCTATATTATTTGTATGGCGTGAGTTATCAGAACTCACAACTTCCAAGACAATGGTCTTTGTGGGTGCAAGTGACAACTTTTGAGATTAGTTGGAGTTTGTCCTTGTGTAGTAACAAAACGGAACATTAAGCGCAGCCTTTTTTGACAATAAAAGAGGCTTTGGTAATTGCTAGTGCCACCGCCATTTTCTCCTTTTTTTGACCAAACGTTGATTCGGTTTTATCTTTCATGTTGATCAGTACATGTATATTTGTGAATTATCAAAATCCTGCCTGATGATCTGGGATGACACAGTTTTCCCAAACAAGAACAAAATAATTGACGTTACAAACCCTCAAGCAATAAACATTATAATACCCCCTAACTTCGATTAGGACCCATTCGCTATTTTCTGCACGTGCTATTATTGCTTACTCGGTATCAATCCCTTTCATCTTTTTGGCCGAACCTACTAGGTAGCCGTATATATTGCCTTCTTGTGTTACGTGATCTCATTGGTTCCTCCCCTTTTCTAGGTTTTCTTTCACTCCAAAAACCAATAATGAATAATGATCAATGATCATAACTCGACCGTAAGAGCGGTAAAAGCAATCAAGATCATCAAAATGGAAAGCTAGCTAGACTCGAATGGTGTAGGGTGCAAGTTTGGCCACCCATGCATTTCCGGCATCGGAGAAGACAAAATATAGTGTGGTTGTTCAAACCCTACTCCTAGGATCAGGTGCAGCATGAAAATAAGACAGATAACGATCCCTACCTAGGCAAGTATAATCCATAATACTAGTATCATGTTTCAATTGCCACAGACTAATCTTTCGACCAGTGCTGCAATTAAACACTCTTTATATTAAAAGATGTTAAATAAGCGTCCCTTATAACTAAGAAGATGTTATGACAAAGATAAGGGATGATAGCAAAGGATGAATGAGAAAGTTTGGTAAATGTAAGAGTTTTCTTGCTACGAGAACTCAAAAATGATTGTAAATGAAGGGGGTGAAAATATTTATAAACCTTTCCTTGTATTTAGAATTTTTTCACTTTCTTAATGGATTGTGGAAATTGATTCAATCATACAGTTTTTTCATACAAAATATTTTATATCAACTATCTAGATATATTCAAGAAGTTCTTTAGACTCTAAAATATTCATGTGCTTAAGCTGTCTAGATTTTTTTAGAGTTGCCTTATACACTCTAGCTTTTGGACCATCATAACCTTTCAAAAAATCACGGATTGTGACCAATGCTGTCATTTTAGTTAGATCTCTTTCAATGCGATTCATATTCATGTCGTGAAAGTGTGCATTTTCCGAACCTGATCTAACTCTTAATTAACCTCGCACTGAGGACGTCGTATTTCATTTGGCTTTTGGAACATGGACGGACTAGTTTTCAACTAAATGGTCTTCCTGTCCTCTCTGTTCACTGGCGTGAATATCAAATACAATTGACTCTTATTTCTGGTGCTTTCATTATCCTAGAAAATTTCATAGCAGCCCTAACGTAAGTGTCAATTATGACTAAATTTTTCAACACCCGCATAATAGTGACTATGCACTGTGAAAATCATCTTCCTAGCTTGCTCCTTGAAAGTCTAATGATCTGTGATTTTGCTTTTGTTTTTTTGTGCCTGTCAGGCTCTCTTTTCCTTCAATTAATCTGTCCCCTTTTACTGATGCAAATTAAATTAGTCACTCCGCTGTCACTTTTGACTTTAATTTAATCAATCAGGCTTCAATGTACTGATAAGACCACCATAAAAAGATTGACCCCCTGCACCAGAAACAAAAAGGGAAGGTAAGTTTGCAGACTATAATTTCCAAGAACATTGCACTTGGTCCTCAGGTATTGATTAAATATTTTAACTTTGATCACGGTTTTTCCCTCTGGTAAAAAAAAAATCACGGTTTTTCCCAATTTTAACGCCAGTCATTCCCCTCATTAAAATACTCGACCAATACCACAACAGATAGAGAGTACTGTGAGATTGCAAATTGGCATTTGGGCCTTAGTAGGGGGAAGATTCCGAACCTGGTCAAGTTCCAAATCTCTACATAAAATCAACGAAAAGATACAGACTCTGGAAAATCATTCTGGCACCATATATATTGGCAGGCATGATTAACAAACTCTTTGCTCCCTTTTCAGTCTCTTCTGTGATTGAAATTTTTTCATACGACATTCAAGAATCGTATCATATATGTTGCTGATATTATGTTCTGGGATATGACGTTTTTCATGATCTGTTCCACAAAATAGTGTAAGAATAGTCTCAAGATAAAGTTTTGGTTTAACACTAATCTTGTCCATTTGTCCTGTTTTCCCCATTTCTTGGTGGTTGCTTCCCATTCCTATCTTGTGATATCAGAGTTGGGGCTTTTGTGAAGGGACCGGAGACAATGTGGTAAATCTAGCTCTGAACCAATATCTACATTATTAACTAAACATATATCTTTAATTCGTCTTGAATATCGGTTACATGATACAGTTTTTTTGGTGCGAGGAGGATCATAATGTTGAATGCTGGGAAAGAAAAGGGTTAACGGGAAAATGGGTGACGTCATTGCTGAGGACCAAAGGGATACGAAGGGTGGCGTGTGGATATTTTAATCGCCGTTTGGCAAATGGCGTTGCATATTTTATGTGTACGTAGAATAATGTTTGGAATCTCAGAATTCATGGATAAATGGCTTTTGCTTTTGCTTTTGCTAATTGCTCTGATTTTCTTGGGACACGAGTCCCTTCGATGTCCAGCAGTTCAGGTCTCGTCAAATGATTCAAATAAATTGAATTAAGGACTGCATTTTTAAAAAAGGAAAAATCTTTGAAATATCGTTTGAAAGGTCGAATATTGTAAACAGCATTCACGTATTACTTTAAGCCTTGAACTTGTTGAGATTTCAGGAATTGGAGGCCGACTTTTGCATAATAAACCATTTGCATTTCATGGGTTTTTAGGCTAAATTTGTTTGAAAAAATTACTTTGAAATCCCACATAATACAATTAAATATTATAAGATCAATGGACAGCTGAGTAAAAGAAAATAACAATTAAATGTGTTGTAAATGAACTTTTGCTTGTGGTATTCAAGTGTATTTTACGGGATTTATATGTAAAGTCTCTCGGTTTGTGTCATGCGTTATAAGTGTGCCACATTAAGATAATCTTAATTAGAATCCCCATTGATTGACAGGACTGGAATAAAACATTTTAAATTTATAAGTTTAACTGCTTAATTTTTTTTAAAAAAATAAATTTACCAATAAAATTTTAAAAGCGTGACCTACATATGCACTTTTTTAATTTTTCAAGGGCGATTTGATTGAGCACAATGAAATCAACTTGCAATAGTAGTGATTAAAGAAAATACACGCGCATGCAGAATGAAAAATTAACTTGCAATGGACAAAAAATAAAAATAAAAAAAAATAAAAACAGCAACGCTCCTGGAATCCAAGTCAATACTGATATCACGTGGTCGAGTCAGTCTATAATGGTGGGTTTTGGTAATTGAATGCGGATAAAATATTAGTTGATGTCAAAATTCAAGTTGGGTCTTTGTTTTGTGATGACTGACGAGGTGAAGGTTGTATATTGGGCTTTATTTCATTTTCCCTGAAGCCCATTTAAAGCCTCCTCCGTTGTTCTGGACCACTCACTTATAAAAGAAAGCATCCTCGGCCCATCGTAATCAATGGACTCTCTACTTATCTGTGCGCGCGCGCGCGCGTATTTAATGGAGCCCTTTGCTTGCCAAAAAATAATTAAAAATTTAAAACCACAAAAACATGTAAATGAAAATTAATTGAATTATTAATTTTTTCCACAAAATTCATTGAATCATTGAATTCAACTAAAATCAGAGGTGATGGCAACACAATTATTATCTCGTATTGTATTGGAAGATTCAATGAATCTCACACGTGGCAGTCGGTGAAACCATGTAGTGCACAGACGGACGTGATATTGTAGCAATGTATTGAGCCTCCCCGTGTGGTCATGTAATACCACCAAACTCAACAGTTGAAATTTCTAGACTTAATTTTGGGCATATGAAGCTGCTTCGCATAGGCGAGTCGCTTTATTGCAAAACCTTCGTTACATTTAGGAAGATTTAGACCACAGAAAGCCACCTCAATACCTTCATGAAGAATAAAGAAATCTCAAGCCAGTATCTGTATGTAAACAACCTCTTAGGTCTTATATATAATCTATACAGAGATTATAACGTCAATTGTGGATCACTCAAGCTCTTCCTGGTGTTCTTGGATCATGGCGGTTGTTTGCTCCTGTCCCTGGATAATCTGTACTCTCCAAATCCATCCTTCCCTCTATCACCTCTTCTCCCATCTCAATCATCTCCTCTCCATTCCTCAAACCCTGCAATTCTTTTTCATGTTGTCAATTCTGAGATTTTGACATATTGAAAAAAACAGTGAATTAGATTCATGAGTCCAGATATAGAACCTGGGCCGGGGTTGCTTGTGTTGAGAGTCTTGAAAATTCTTCTCCGTTTGACCTGAGGCTTCCTGTAGACCATGAAATTCAAGATGCATGTCAAATTTTGGCAATCAAAAGAATTGACGGTTGCAAATGGTTCAAGTCTTACTGCTTGCTGGGACAGCGACAGACGAGACAGCAAACGAAAAACCCAGGAGGATTATGACGAGTTGCAGGGGAGATTTGTGCACCATGTTGAATGAGCAGAAAAGAGATCTGGAGACTTAGCAAGGTGATGAATGATGATAAGGCAAACAGTGCGGAGACGGTGCTTATATAGGGGGAAAAAACATCAGACGGACAAAATAATTTAATCGAGTTTTGCAGGACAGTGCTAGTGCTAGTGCTCCAAGTCAACCTCAACTTTTACATATTTATCATTTCTTTCTCCTTAAATATACATACATACATACATATATATATATATATATATATATATTTAATTTGTAGATTTGGCAAAGAGCAAGTTAAGTCCACCGTTCCTTCGCCACAAGGAAGAGAAACAGATACATGAGTAGACGGGGTGTCGTTAGGTGTCACAAAAGGGACCAATTTTGGGATTAATGCTCCCATAAAATTTAGCAATTGAAGTCAGTTATTAAACACCAAAAAAAAAAAAAAATCTTTAGACTTTATGAGAGGCCTCTGCGTTGTTAACCGTTTATAACCTGAAGACCCGAGGGGTTATAAAGTAAAGATAAGCTCTCCGGGTACAAACTTCCAAATGCCATTAGTCCTGCTCACCATAGCCAGAGGCAGTTGATTAGACAGAATTTTGACTTTGTGCTCACTGATATAACATGCCAGAGTGTGCGATCGTTCATCAATAACCAATCATGATCAGACACTGGATTGCCTCCATGATTAAGCAACTTTTGTCTCATTTTAAAATGAAACAAACATTATTAATATTTTTTTAATCTTCTATTTATGCTGATATAACACCACTAGTTCTTAGCAGCAATAGCTATGGTGTGAGGAAGGGCGAGCCTCGGTCTGGAGATGTAGAGAGAAGCAAGAGGGAATGGATGGCATGGGGATATACGTAAACGTAAACAAGGTAAATGAGGGAGAGCAAGTGGGTGAAAGGGATGGAATGTTCAGGAACTACATGATTGGTGGGAGACCCACCACGTCAAGATGATGGCCAGAGCGGGGTGACTATGGGCGGTGGACCTATGTGTGGCAGATTTGACATATATAATTCTCTTTCTCAATGATTTCATGTGTTTGACTGTGACCTTGACAGCCATAAGCACTCATCTACATCTTATGCTGCTCATCACCACTACCAAATTACCAATTACCAAACCAGGTTCTACTTTGTGTGTGTAAAATGTAAATATAATAGTGTAGTCTAGCTCAAGACAGTTAACTTGCTGCACCAGCCACTACAGTTCCTTTCTCATTATATTACTATAATAGAGGGTGTCATCAATTTAATCCATACACTTGTACAAGCTTCTCTACACAATTCTTTACTGTTGCGCGTTGATAAAAATTGCTCTAAACGAAGCATCCTCCATATTCCTGATCTCTCTTGGATTTGTTTTTTGGGATTGTTAAAAGACAAGCAGAAGTTGCTGTCCCGTCGCAGTCACCACAACTTGGTCCAAAGTCTAATGTAGACAAAAGGTAGGCCCAAGAAGAGCACACACATGCCAAGGCCTTTTCTTCTCATTATAGCCTTTTTAGGTCAGTTTCAACTTGGGGATTAAGCCCAAATACAGGCCCTTTTTTCCGGTTTGGTGCGTGGTGGAAATGGAAGCTACAGACGTGACTCAAATTCAATTCCAACTTACACTGAACTGTTTTACTTCTAATCATTTCAAATTTTAACGCGAAAAAAAAAAAGTTCTTTTAATAAATTTTATTCGTACTTTATCTTGCTTTGCTTGTTTGACAAAGGGTTGCCAAAAAGACAAAGGGTTGAGTTGCCGTTGCCGAGCCATGGCATGACGAGAGAGACAAAAACGGGTAACCAGCAAACAGGACAACAGGCGACATCGACACGATATCGAATGGAGATATTTCTGTTGTTTGGGTGGCCGTGGAAATGGAAGGAGGGGACAAACGTCATCCGTGACTGAGTGTGGAATGAGATGCCTCGACGTGGTCGAATCTTTATCGCCATTTCATAGTCTCCCAGTTTCGCCTTTCTCCAACCTCCATTCTACCCCGTGTCCCTTTCCAGCTCCCTCCCTCTTCGTCCATGTCTCTTGCAGATTTTTCGGCAAAATGGCTAACCAAATCCGCTGAACAGCTCATCTCTATCATCACCTCCATCGTTTTCCTCGTTCTTGATTTCCTGGACACTGTTTTTTGCCTGATATATAAATACCTTGATGAACATATTGAAGGGGATGCCCCCACGTGTTGCTGCGGAAACAGGGGTAAGCACAAGGAGAACTCGAAAGATGATAAGGACGATGAATTATCAGATACCTTTTACAGGAGAAAAAACTTGTTCAGGGACATGGGTTTCCTTCGAATTGGAAGGAAACAACTGGAAGAATCTGAGAGAAAATTCGGGGGAGGTAGGTGGTCGATGAACCGTTGGTCTGATTGTGGGTGCGAGTCGTGCCTTTCGTGGGTGAGTGATGGTGATCACAGACTTCATTTTGTGGTGAAAGAGCCCTCGATAGGTAACTTCAGAACTAGTGTTTCTGTTTCCTTTTCGTGTTATTGTACAAAATGTAGTCCATTGGGTTGCTCATGCAGTTCAAATTTACGTTTAACAGCTGCTGACGAGAACTGCAAGGGAATGCCCTCTGAGAATGTGGTTTTTTTGCATGGGTTTCTCTGTTCTTCGTCGTTCTGGACACAAACAGTATTCCCAAATCTTTCTGAACAAGCAAAGCAGAATTACCGATTGATTGCGGTGGATCTGCTAGGATTTGGTAGGAGCCCCAAGCCAAGAAATTGTTCCTACACTTTGAGGGATCATGTGGGAATGATAGAGAAATCTGTGGTTCACCCATTGAATTTAAGTTCTTTTCATCTGGTTGCACACTCTATGGGTTGTATAATTGCACTGGCTTTGGCTGCAAAGTACCCCAGGTGTGTTAAATCCATCACCATTGTTGCCCCTGTAAGTGCCTGAAACCCTCCTTGATATGCCTCTTTCAGAATTGTCATTTAAAACAGAGAACCAAAATGATCATACTTCTGCAACTTTAACATTTAGCAATTTTCTCTTTGCTGATTTTCTGGCAGCCATACTTTCCTTCTGGGGGAAACGATGCTAGTTTAAATGCACTCACAAAACTTGCTGGCAAGAAACTGTGGCCGCCATTGGCATTCGGTTCTTCCTTCATGTCGTGGTATGAGCACTTGGGTCGATTTGTTTGCCTCATCTTTTGCAGAAATCACAGGATATGGGAGAAAATTATCAAGTTCGTTACTTTCAAGAGGTAAGTAAACTACATTTTCTTGACAACAGAGAAAGAAATTGCAGTGCACATCACTGACATCGACGATATTGATAAGCTGGCCTCCTCTTTTGCAGGGATCTTCATTTCTTGACCATAGACTTGACCAGGCACACCCATCAATCAGCTTGGAGCTCCATGCACAATGTGATTTGCGGGGGCGCGAAATTTTTGGATAGTTACCTGGAAGTTTTGAGTGAAGCTGGGGTCAGAATAAATGTGATTCGAGGTGACAGAGATGGTGTTGTCCCGTCGGAGTGCTGCTATAACTTGAAGCTGAAGGCTCCAAAAGCTGAGATGAGCACCGTAAGAAATACAGATCATGGCACCGTAATTTTTGGCAGAGAGAAGGAATTTGCTCATTACCTGGAGGATATATGGGCATCTTGCTGATGTAGTAATGTACAAATATAAGATGTTACTAAAATACAGGCTCTTGGAGGATCCGTTTAGATAGGAAGGTTGAGAAGGCTTGCCTTGGAGGTTCCAATAAATTGGGAACTTGACATATTGTATAATATTTCAAATTTAAACCTTCTGTTTTAAAAAGAAGAATAAGTGAAATGAAGCAGAACATCGAGAAAAACTTTCCAATGTCTTTTTAATTGGATGCAAAATCTCCAGAGCATTCGAACGGTTCTGAGAGTTTGAAATAGTATAAGGAATAATCGTAATCAAGACTGGATTGAACTCTTATCAAACCTGGAAAAAATTGACTGCTGCAATGGCGTAGAAAAAAAAAATCAGGTCAGATGGTGACATCTGAAGCGAACTACAGGGCCCAGATTGACTGTATGAAAACAAAAGATTTGAACTATGGTTACACCGTGTGGGTGTGCCCAAAAGAAACTTTGATCTCACTCAATAAGCACTGGAGTCCGGAAAGCGATGTGTCTGCAGGCACACGAAGAGGTTGATTTTTAGTTCCATATTTCCATATGAGAAGCAACAAACTGGAAGGAGAAAGGCGCGTAGCGCGTGCTGGCCGAGAAAGCTGGCTCCACGTTTCCAAGAGGATTCATCTGTATCTCTACCTCAAGTTTCACTGCACCCCTCCAACTACCCTTCAAGCTCTGGGTTTTTTGTTTTTTTTTTTTTTTTTAAAAAAAACCCTACCCTTCCAGCCTTTCTGTCCTCGTAAGTCGATCCATTCACAATCTTGTCAATATTTGGCTCATGTATGATTTAAAAAAAAAAAAACTCATGCAGTTAATTTTATATATTTAATATTTTTTTAATTAAATCAAGATAGATACTTATATTAATTATTCTATGATAAATTATTTTTATTTATATTATTAATTATTAATATATTAAAGCACACTTGTTCTGATTATTTTATAAAATGTTAAAGCAAGAATGAAGGAAAATGGTGAGTAATGATAATTTTTTTTATCTTTACGACGGGTAAAGATAAAAATTTATTAAATTTTAAAATAAAATTAATAAAATTTAATTTTTTGTAATTTTGATAGAATATGTTGAAAAATAATTCAGATGGAATATATATTTGGTATCACAATTTGATAGGTTACCTAATCGTGAGATCGCTCCAATGGCAATGGCCACAACGTTGTTTTCCTTAAAAAAAAAAAAAATACAATAGGTCCCTCGTATCGGGTCCACCAACCAGGCTCAGGCTACCACCTCATCAATGTCCAATGCTCTCTTCCCTATATTTTTAGGGAAAATTACATTCTATATTCCAATCTAACGTTTTTTTTACGAGAATACCCCAAGCTAATGTTGCAAAAGAAAAGGCCAATCCTTCAAAACTTATAACGAAGCTAAAATTACTGAATTTTTGAATCAATGTACGAAGTAATTTAATTTAATTTACATTTGAAAATCATCATTTATTTAAATTTTAATTTTTTATTACCTTTTTAATGCCAAATTTATTAAAATCACTGCTTAAAATTTCTTTAAGTTACACAATGAAATGCATCTTGAAATTATCATACTGTAAAATAAATATAATATAACCTCATAAAATAATTAAAATTGCTATAAGAGTTAAATATAATGACTTTTCTTGTTTTGATTAAACTTACGGAGACCTTTCTTTTATTTTAAAAACCTTAAATATTTTAACATACTCAAATTTTTATTTGAAATTTTGTTAAATTTTAAATTTTTTTAGTTTTCCATTATAATATAATTGTCTACTTTCTCTCCTAATTTTAATAAATAATTAAGTGTGTCAATATTTAAATAAACAACTTAAATTTTTTGTTAAAATTAATGAAATATTTTTTAAAATAAATATGATTTTATTTCTGAAAAAAAAAATCTTTACTTCGTTAAGTTTTTAATTGCCTTTTTAATAAGAGAAAATATCAACTGAGAGCCCCTATAGGTAATTTGCATTCAAAAAAGATTATAAAATTTTAAACTTACGCCACAGTCCTTTGATATCTGGCTAAAATTAAGTTTTTATCAGAAAATATGACATCACTTCAAAAGTTTAAATTAATTAAAAAAATCACATGTGAGAGATTAACAACATTTTATTTAGGTGTTAACAATGCTCCATTCATGATTAATAATATATTTAGACACTAATAAGATAGAAAAACTAATAGTATGTGTTTTAATGAAGTAACTGTTTACCTCGTATAAACAACAAACCATTCAAGTTTTGACAACACTTCATTTATAATTAGCAACAACAAATTCATATTTTGATAAGATAAAAAACTGAGCACGTGTTTAATGAAATAAATATTCACTCTGCGTAAACAAGTTATTTGAGTTTTAACAATAATTTATTTATGATTATTAACAACACATTCAAATTTCAACCACATAAAAAATAAAATAATATGAGTTTAATTGTACAAACGTTAGTCATTTGTCAACAAGTATTAAATTGAATTTTGATAAATAGTTCATTCAAAATTAATAATATATTCAAGCTTTAATAGTTAACACACATGTTTTTTTTTTTTTTTTTGCTATTTTAAACTCTATGGGTAATGTCGTTTTATCCCATAAAAACTTAATTTTAGCCAAGTATTAAGAGGCTACAAAACAACTTCATAATCTTACAATCTTTTTTTCATATAAATCACTTCCAAAGGTCCTCAGTTGATATTTTTCTTTTTAATGAATATGTTTACAAAATAAAAAATAAATTTAAACTAAAAATATATGCATTAATTTTTTAAGTACTATGATTAATTTTAAAATAATATTTACATTTAAAAAATGATATTTTAGTTCAATATATATAATTTAACTATTAATAGACTGTTGTATAGATAAAAATAAAATTTTAAAAATAAATAGAATGGTTTTGTTTTATAACTATTAATACTTAATGAGGTTGGTATGTATTTTAAAAATAAAAAAAATATTTATAATTAAGATAAAATAAGGGGTGTGTTAAAGTATTTTACTCTTAGTATAATTTCCATTACCGTTAAACTTTGAATATTTTCATTCATTGCAACATTAACCTCCATGATTTTCTAATTTAGAGTTTTAGGGCCTTTCGGACAAAATTTTACAAGATCGAAGCCACAGCACGCAAATTTCCCTTTTTTTTTTTTAATTTTATCTTATTATTTTCACGCACACCTGCCATAATTCCTGCTTAAACATTCGCTGGGGAGTTTCGACTTTCGTCTGGGACGTTTGGCGGAGACCCAGAGGCACCAAAAGGCCGTGAATCTCCCGCAACTCTGCGCCTGAAATCTAGAGCTGAAACCATGGACTTCCTACAGACACCGGAAAATCAGATGCTCGTGGGCGTCGCCGTGGCCTTTGTGGCCATTGCTCTCGGTGCTTTCTACCTCTTGTCGTCCAAGAAGGCCAAAGGTTTGACCTTGGATTTCATTTTCCTGCCTCCTCGAATTTCGCTTAACGTGTCATGATTATGAATGGGGGTTAATATTCACCATGACTAGTCATTCCCGGAAGTTTTTAGCACAACCACCCCCCCCCCAAAAAAAAAAAATGGAAGACAAGACAATGCCTCGATATGTGTGTCTTCAACAAAGTTTTTTGGCTCGAAATTTTTGGTTTGCGAAATCTATTGCTCGGACCCTTTATCCTTCTATCGATGATGTTTGGACGCTCATTTATGCTTGTGGAATCTGTTATTTTGAATCTTAATCTCTTTCAATGTAAGTCCTTTTCCATGTTTTACATTCTACGAGGAGCAGTCTGACATTTTAATGAAGATCTTTGGTGTACCAATCAGTATGCAAGACAATATTGTAAAGACATATGGCATTATATATCGCTGCGTGTAGAATGTCTCTCAATTTGATTTTCATTGGACTTCCTATTTGAAAAGTTGGGGGGGGGATGTGAGCAAGAGATGACGTGAAACTCAATGCACTAAGTACTAGGATTGTCTAATTTTCTTGCTATTGCTTGTTGTTAGTAGTTTCTGATTTTATTGTTGTAATTAGTTACCCTGTGATCTCTAAAGCGTGCATCGCATCATCCATGTGATCGCAGGCTGCTTAAACCCTGACGTTTTTAAGGGGTTTAAACTTGTGAAGCGCACTCAGCTGAGCCATAATGTGGCAAAGTTCACATTTGAACTTCCAACTCCTACTTCAGTTTTGGGTCTTCCAATAGGACAACATATAAGTTGCAGGTTTCACTGGCTGATCTTGTTTCTTGTGTTTCTCACTTTGCTTGAAACCTGCTCAGATTGTTAGTTTCAAAATTGTTATGTGCTCTTTGTGTAAGTCTTAATGGTGGCTGAGAACAGATAATGCATTTTGAATTTTACTGAGAAATATGCTGGTAGTAATTTTCCCTTTGTTTAGTTTCTTTGTCAATGTTTTCTTATCATTCTATGAGCAAGCTATTTTTGTAACAGGGGCAAGGATAGTCAAGGTGAAGAAGTTATCAAACCATATACACCTACTACGCTGGATTCTGATGTTGGATATTTTGAGCTAGTCATAAAGGTATGTTTGTCCATAGCTTTTTTTTCTTTTTGGTTGGACTGAGTTTACTGTCTTTACCTTTTCTCCCATTAACTTTCTTATATCCAATGTTCTTCCCTTGTTATTTTCTCCCGCTTGGCTTCGATTAGATGTACCCTCTAGGGAGGATGTCTCACCATTTCCGTGAGATGCGTGTTGGTGACTATCTTGCTGTTAAAGGACCCAAGGTAAATGTTTCTGAAACGCACCATCTTACAAAATTCTCTTAGCTTCCCCTTTTCTTCTCTCTGTTGAAATTTTGATGCCTTATTTTATTTCCCGAGAATGTTTAGACATTTCTTGCACTTCCTGGTAAAATTTGTTTCATATCATATCTGAATGAAATCCCATAAACTATACTGCCGTAGGTCAAATTCATCTTAATGAATAATGAGGAACAGAAAAACATCAGGAAATTTATTTGTGTGTTTTCTAACTAGTATATTTATTTGGTGGATTTAATCGTGTTGTAGATTTTCTCTGTGAGTCTATGTATTTTGGATATAATTTCTTCTAGCCACGTCAAAAGCTTGTTATTTGGATTGTTTTATTGCACGCCATATCACTTACAGGGACGCTTCAAGTATCGAGTTGGTGATGTTAGAGCATTTGGGATGATTGCTGGAGGGTCTGGAATCACACCAATGTTCCAAGTATACACTTAGGACAGATGCTTTTGTTTATTCATCATCGAGAGGCTTAAAAGAATCCTGTGACATAATCTTTTGCCCTGTTGCTCCTTTAGGTTGCTAGAGCCATACTAGAAAACCCAAAAGACAGGACAAAGGTGCATCTTATCTATGCCAATGTTACATATGAGGACATTCTTTTGAAGGTAACTGGCTTTTTTTCCCCAATGAAATATATTATCTTTTTTTCATTTATTTGATGAGATTCATAGCTTGATACCAAAGTTGATTATTTTGTCCATGCATGATCTATGGTTGTTTCTCCACAGTCTGCAGCAGTAGGTATGCTGAGAAATTTATGGCCTTTATGACACCATTCTTGTTCATCACAAAGCACAATACACCTACTTGCAGCTAATAATCTGTCTCTATTGCCGTGTAGGGAGCTGCAATTTGTGTGAAAGGATGTTTTTCTTGGATTAACTTCTCAGTTTTTGGCAATTATTTATGGTTGTTTCAAAATGCCTCCCTCAAGTCTATTTATGCAATTGATTTCTTAAAGTTCTGCATAGGAAATGTCAATAACTGGGGCAAAATGTATGTTTTTGGTTGCAAAGTAGTTGGATATGCTTTTGTCTCTCTATCTATCATTTACTATTATCTTTTGAGGTTATGAACTTGCTTAGCAACTTCCTTTTTTGCTGCAAAGAGGGATTATTTGTCCTTTGCATATTCATTGAGGAGGGTGGGGGTGATGGTGAGGTTCCATCAGATACGAAGTAGGAATGTCAGAAGTGTCAAAGAATTATATAACTGTTTCTTCATGGAGACATTTTTGTACTTCACTCAAAATTCTCTTCATTATTGTTATTTCTGTTCCTTACTCAGTATTATATAACTGTTTCTTCATGGAAAAACTTGAGCTACACATCCCCCCTTCAGATTGGCGACTGGCTTTTGAATTTTTTTTGTACTATTCGTAGGGATCCCTCAATATACACTTTTCTTGTGTCTGCAGGAAGAATTGGATGGACTTGCTTCTGAGCATCCAGATCGCTTTAAAGTATACTATGTCTTAAATCAGGTTAGTTGCAGTACAATGCAGAACAAAAGTTTTCGTTTCCTCATTCATGGCATCCATGCTTTGGCATCATTGATATTGTAATTGTAGTCCTAACTAAGATTGACCAAGCAATTCAAAAGTTCTCATTCTTGTGAGGAAATTCATGGAAAAATCATGATAGTGATTCGTGAATAACGATTAACAAGGACAAATATGTCCTTGGACTCTGACTGTGATTGATTGCTTCTGGAAGAAATAGGTAATTAACAGTCCTTTGGAGTGAATGTGCATGACTTGTTAGTGGTTTTACTTTCTGGGAGTTTCCTGACTCGAGCTCAAATGCCTTTTGCCTTGTGCCATAGCTAACACCCATGATACTTTCTGGGAAGAGGCCACCTCATGATACTCAGTTCAGCGTTGTATGTATTGACTGTATAATGACAAGTCCTTTCTATGTTACTGACTTAAATTATGTCATCTCCCCAGCCTCCTGAAGCATGGGATGGCGGTGTTGGATTTGTGTCAAAAGAAATGATTCAAGCGCAATGCCCTGCTCCAGCCAATGACATCAAGGTTCTGTTTTATTTATTTTTACCCATTTCCCCATATTATTAACTTGAGCTTCTGGTGGTGTTAATTCAATTGATGCTGTGAGCTTCTGAGCTTCAGAGGAGGGTAATGACTAATGAATAATGATTGAACACGGTGGTTGTGGAATGTGGATTCGCAGATTTTGAGGTGTGGACCACCGCCCATGAACAAGGCCATGGCTGCTCACCTGGATGCCATTGGATATTCCCCCGAGATGCAGTTCCAGTTCTGATTGATTTCATCACCTGAACGCTTTCCCGTTGCTGAGTGTTGAAAATATGAAATAACTGCGTTTAATCCGATTATGAGGGTGAGACATTGCCTCCCATGTTTCAGGCATTATGAATATTCACATACTTTCACATGCAAAATAATTTTGCATGTGTCGCCCATTATCTAAAATAATATATCCAAAATGGAAAGAACGCTTTCTAGCTGAGGAGATTGTGCACCTTTAAAAGTTATTCATGACCGACACAGCGTTTTGTTTAAACAAAGTTGAAAGTAAATCAATATTCCCTCTCTATCTCATAAGATATTTTTTCAGGTAATTGAGTATCTTGAAATATAAAATGTTTTAAAAAAATAAAGTTTTTTTAATAATTCTTTCGATATTACTTTTCATTACTTCAGTCATAAAATATACTTCTTTGCCCTCCATTCTCTCATGTTACAGCAAGTCTTATTTTATTAAATGGGATTGGTTACATGAATTGTGAGGTATTTCCTTTGTTTTTTATTATTGTTAGAGAAGTGACTACTTTTTACTTGTTTTTCAATATAAATAAAATCACTTATTTTAATAAATATTTATTATATATTTTTTAAATCACTCTTCATAATTTACATTGATAAGAAATAATTAATATATGCTTATGTTGATTAATATAGGATATTTTAACTTATTTTTTTATTTTTAAATATAATTATTATAGTTAATCGATTTTTTTAAACTGTGTGATACAGTTTTTTTTATATAAAAATGGATGAGTATCATTATATTTTATCATTAATCAAGTTTTTTGAAATATTATTAACTAAAGTTTCCTTGACAACTTTCATAATTTTTTTTTTTTGGTCTTCCTATGCTTGTCTTTATGGAAAAACCATTCGTTCTACTCTTTCATGTTAATGAAGTGTATTCTAAAAATTTATTAAAAAATAGAGATTGGAAATTATATTTAATAAATTTTAGCGGATGTGTAATTTTATTAAAAATAAATAATAAATTAAGATTAAGAGAGTGTAATTTTACAATACGGTAATTGAGAAACAGAGCACGTGGATGTCCTTGGTCATAGATATTGTGACAAACATTGATTGGTGCGCCCAAACACTCTCTCTTATTCAAAGTCACAGTTCTCAAATGTTAAAATGAAAAATTAGAAAGGAAAATAGAGTAAGCCAATAGGAATTGACATTTCTATCTCTCTATTAATTACCATCAGGAAATTGTAAAAAGTTAAATTCTATCTAAAATATGATTAAGTATTAAATATAAATGCATCTCTCTCTCAATATAAATTTAAATATTAATAGTAACAAGCGGGTGCTTTTAATTGCATACAATAGTAAAATAAATTTTCAAGTATGTAAACCCAACAACCCAAAATAATGAATTAAATGAAATGAATAAAATCTACTAGTTTTAAAGGATCAATTCAAAACGAGGGCACAAGTCCTCCTGTAATTGACCGATCACATGGTCATGCATTTATTATCTATTGCAAGAGGCTGGATTTCCCGATGACAGGCGTTAGTTCCAATGAATCATAGGAGTATTAATACTAAACTACTAGTATCTTTGGTAATTAAATATCCAATCAACTACTTGCACTAGCTACTGTTGTCTGGCTGAAATTAACATTAACAAGGGTATCTGTCAAAGTTCTGTGTTGTGATAATGCTGTTTTGATCCTCCCTAGCAACTTGCGTGCACGCATCGTCGCTCACATTAAATGCCTTCTTATAATCCCAATAATAACACATTCCAATTCACACTCCACTACCCCCAAATAATGACGGTGCGTCCCCACTAATTGCTCTCGTATTGATACCACAGTGATCCTAATACTACTGATTACTTTGTCCAAAAATAAATATTTTTGTCCGTACTTTAACGATCTTCCTTAGACAAACCCTGATTTTCTGACCATTCCCGAAATAGGAACAGAGGAAGCATGCAAAGACGACGCAGTTACTCTCTCTCTTTCAATTGTGGAGCTTAAACAGAGTAGCCCGCTTCCACAGTTCACACCTTAGACCCTATTCTCCCGCTTCTTCCCACTTTTTCGTTATCGTTCCTCGCAAGAACCGTGTTCTCTTCTTCATTCTCCGAGTTTCTCATTACTATTCTGGTTTCATTTGATCTCATCTGGCTCTGTTTTTGCTCATTCTGATTAACTTGGCTTGGACATTGTCAGAATGACGCCTATCAATCTATCTAGAGTTTTGCTCTGTTATATATAACCTTTCCATTTTCTTCTTGAATCCCCATCAAGGTTGCTTTGAAGGCAGAAATGTAAGCTGATTAGTTGGCGATAATATTACTGAAATGGCCGAGAGAAATGCCGTGTCATCCACGAAGGTTCTTTCTCGCAAGTCATTGTTATGGTTCTTTACGATCACATCTTCCTTGTTTGTGTTATCTTGGTTCTTTGTTCTTCGTTCGACCAGTCGTCCCCGTTTCAGTGATACTGATTTCTTACCCAGTTCTCAGCTCTCCACTGAATTCGATAATTCAACCTTCAAGAAGGATAATCTAAATGCTGAGCCCTCCATCGGCAGTCGAGCAATACTAGTGAACACCGAGGAAATGGAAGCAACCCGCGAGACAGAAACGCTATCAGAGAATCAAACACCTTCAACAAATGACGAAGCATCCAAGTGCAGTAGAAAAAACGACAACGTTGTTCCTCTTAAGGTTTTCATGTATGACTTACCTCCAGAGTTCCATTTTGGACTCTTGGATTGGAAACCCGAAGGAAATACTGTTTGGCCTGACATTTCAACCCAAATACCTCACCATCCTGGGGGCTTGAATTTACAACACAGCATAGAATTTTGGCTCACCATGGATCTTCTTGCTTCAGAACTACCTGAACCCCCCAATGCTGGCGCTGCAATGAGAGTTCGCAATGTTAGCGAAGCTGATATCATATTTGTTCCGTTCTTTTCTTCTTTGTGCTATAACCGGCATTCCAAAACCAATAAACACGAAAGAAAGAGCATGAACAGGGTACTGCAAGAGAAGTTAGTGCAGTTTCTGATGTCTCGAGAGGAATGGAAGAGATCTGGCGGAGTGGACCACTTGATATTAGCTCACCATCCAAATAGTATGTTAACGGCCAGAACGAAGCTGTGGCCTGCTACACTCATACTCTCAGACTTTGGGAGGTATCCTCCAAACATAGCAAATGTTGAGAAAGACGTGATTGCACCATATAAACACGTGGTCAGGTCCTACGTCAACGATTCCTCTGACTTCGATAACCGACCGATTTTGCTCTACTTTCAAGGGGCAATTCACAGAAAAGATGTACGTAAGTTTTCACGGAATTCTGTCTTTGCATTCCCAATTTACACAACACACGCTGGTCTTGCTTAATTAGCTTCTGTTTTTCTCTGATAGGGTGGCCATGCTAGGCTAGCTCTGTATAACATGCTGAAAGATGAGAAAGAAGTGCATTTTTCATCTGGGAGTGTTCAGAAAGGTGGGATCAGGCAAGCAACGGAGGGAATGCATTCTTCTAGGTTCTGTCTCAATATAGCTGGTGACACCCCTTCATCAAATCGCCTGTTTGACGCCATTGCTAGTCACTGTGTTCCTGTGATCATAAGTGATGAGATTGAGCTGCCATACGAGGATGTCGTCGACTACTCTGAGTTCTGCATATTTGTTCGGACAAGAGACGCACTCAAGAGAAATTATCTGATAAATTTCATTAGGAGTATCGGCAAAGAAGAATGGACCCGAATGTGGAAGAAACTGAAAGAGGTGGAACACATGTTCGAGTATCAGTATCCATCAAAGGAAGGAGATTCTGTGCAGATGATTTGGCGGGCCGTGGCTCGAAGAGTTCCTGCAATGAGACTCAAGTTACACAGATCCAGGCGCTATACTCGATCTCTGCCTAAGAAAGAGAGAAGCTTACCCACAATACCTGCACCAGTGAATTACTGGTTAGAAAGGAGAAATATTATTGTAAGAAACCCCGCAGCCTAGGTGTTTTTGTGCTTGACGGAGAAGAGGCGACTTCATACTGGCATTGTGTAGGAAAAGCCGGCAGATTCTATTTGTGACCGTGGGTGTCGAATGAAATTCTAACTGTATTTCATTCGAATCAACCCTTTACATACTACGAATGACATGTCTGTGTCTCAACGCATATCAGTCCTGCTTTTCCTTTCTGCTGTTAGTTTTCTCCGTGTCAGCAACAGAGTAGTGGGCTGAGGCCGCTAATGTTATACATGAGTAAGTTAGAATCTTTGTTGTCCTTCGTGCTACAGTTTGAGCTACAGTTCAACGGCCATGTTATCTTAATCCAGTTTTTCAGTCATTATATTTATGTGTAATGAAACGCGTGTCTCGTCCATTCATTTGAGTCTGTCAATGTATATTTTTCTCACAAGGAAAGGGGGGGTGTTTATGACTTTCATGACAAATGATGAGTTCCTACCCTACCAATGTATAAGATATATGGATTGACAAATGATTTTTCAAATGCTATAAGGCTTTTGTCTGGTTCAAATATTTTGGCCGAAGTGAATACACACGCACACACTTACAGACTTTGACCCTTTGTATTGGCATCCTTTGACAAACTAGTGCTGATATGTATAGATTGTGTCCGGTTACGGCAATGTGAAGGTAAAGTTCTCTCTTAAACTATCATAATTGCCCCTTTCTAGATGATGCGGCTAATTAGAAGGCGAATTAAATGCGAGAGGGAAGAGAGGGAAGAGAGGGAAGCATCATTTTCGAGGATGGCGAGAGAAGGGAGGCGTCTTCAATGGCATTCAAGCCTGTGGGATCGCCTTGTAATCCTACAAATGACCTTCCGTTTCGTGTCTCCATTTGGGCATTTAGACGCCATTGCTTGCCCATTTTAATTTTACTTCTACAGCTAGAAAATATCCCGTGCGATGCACGGGATTAAATAGAAAAATAATTTTAAAACATTGATAAAGAAATAATTGAATTAAAAAAACAATTGTGGATCCCACGGCACTGTTAAATCCACTGTTCCATAAACAGTGAATTATTTTACATTTTAGCATAGGTAAGGTAAGGTTCCTCACTCCTTGCAGGCCTTATAAATCTGACTCCATTGATTGTGGTTATGTTTATATGTACTTTGTCTTAAATTATAAAATATTTTTAAATAAAATTTTATATATTAATAAATTTTATTAAATATATTTAATAATTTTATCTTTTTAAAATAAAAATATAAAATTTTAAAAATATTTATAATTGAATATATTGAAAACATAAGAGATGAAAATTAATTATAGAGAGAATAAGGATAATATTAAAATTGACCCACTTAATAAAATCTTAATATACTCAAAATATTTTATATTTTAGAACAGTTAAACTCCTTCAAAAATGTACTATAATTTAAGACAGAGGTAATATATTATTCAAATTAAATGTTCAATAGAATCTTCTATCAGAAAAAAAAAAGTAATTTAAAAAATTTAAAGAAAAACATTTTCAGTTATATCCTTACATGAGAATGCACATATATATAATGCTGAATTTTAATTAAACATAAATAACAGGAATATTTTAGACTTCAATGCTCGAGACCACAGGTGCATGTTTGGATACAAAAAGTAATTAATTTTGAAGGTTAAAATCATGATTTTATGAAAATATATTCAAATATTTTTATTATAAAGCATGGGCCATCTTGAAGGTGAAGGCGTCGAGCAACAAGAAAGAACTTCAAAGGTTCTTGAAACAAGTTAATTATCTCAAGCGTTTTATCCTAAACCTTGTAGGGAAGATGAAGGATTTTTTTGAACTCTTGAAACTTAAAAATACTGAGGAATTCACTTGGACCAGATATCATCAGGCAGCCTTTGACAATATTAAAGAACACTTGACAAAACTTTTGATCTTAGTAGCCCTGAGGGAGAACACTCATTTTTATTATATTTAGCTTCTATTGCCACATCCATAGGTTGTATGTTAGTCTAAAATGTTGATGGGAGATGTGAGTAGGCAGTTTATTATTTAAGTAGGTGTTTAACTCTCACTAAGGTCAGATACTTAAATGTGGAAATAGTGTGTTTGGCGCTATAATTATATATCAAGATTAATTATAAATTTAAAATTGTGATTTTCTTAAAAATATTTAAATACTTTATCTTAAAAACCAAGTTTTGTAGTCAACCGGCTGGTGGATGTGGTCTCGCGTGCCAACTATCATCTTTCTAGTTTAAGCAAAATCCATAAACTTGAATTACTTACAAGAACATGAATGCATAATTGCATATAGAAAAAAAAAATAAAAGGAATAATATACAAGTTTCACTCGACATATTAATTACTTTTAGATTGTGTTTGGATGGGTAGATTTAAGTTGAGAATTTAAATTTAAAATTTCACATTTAAAATTCATAAATTTTAAATTCTTTATTTGGATGATGTAAAAAAATTTAAGTAACAATATTAAAATTATTTGTTTGGATCTAAAGTAAAATTTTATATTTTATATTTGAATTTTAAAAAAATTTAAAAGATTGGTCAAACTAGACAATTCAAATGGCCAACTTTTAATAGAATCAAATAAAGTTGATTGAAATTTTGGCACTAGTGACAACTGGGAGGGGACCTTCAACTTCCATCAAAACTAGACCATCATGATGATGGGGACAAGATGGCCGACTTCCACCAAGATCGAACCAATGGCGACAACCAAGACCAAATAACTAACACCAGACCAATAGGGATAACAGGAGCCGGACAATCGACTTTTGCCAAAGCCTAACCGACTGCAACGAATGGGAACGGATGGCCAACTTCTACTACGATTGAACTGATGGAGACGATAGGGACCAGACTGAGGGGGACGATGAGGATCGGATGGTTGACTTCCACTGACATCAGATAAATAGAAATGATCGCAACAGGATTGACGACGATTACAATTAGATAGCCGACTTCTACCAAGACCAAACTAACAACGACGATGACCGAACAACTGACTTTCACTAGGACCGAACCGACAGCAATGACAAAGATTGAAAGTCTAACTTCCACCAGGTGAGGACTGGACGGCTGCCTTTTGATGCCATTGTCTTCAATTTTGTCATCATTGTCGTCACCGTTGATCCGGTTCGATGCCAATAAAAGTTGGTCGTCCAATCTCTATCATCGTTGTCGATTTGATCCCGATGAAAACTGGTTGTCCGGTCCCTATCTTTCCCCTCTGTCTGATCCCTATCATCGCTGTCGGTCTGGTTCCGGCAGAAGTTGGTCATTCGGTCCCTGTCGTCCACCTCACTCTAGTCCCTTTCATCCCTATTGGTCCGGTCTTAGTAAAAGTCTGTCGCCCAATCCCCATAGGTCTAGTTTCGATGGAAGTCAGCCGTCCGATCCCTGTTGTCGCATAATACATATAAATCTCACTTATTGAGTGAGAGTTTAAAATATTCTTTCTAAAAAAATCCATCTATGTATTATAAAAAAAATCTCTCTCTCTTTTGTCGGGTTAGGATTCTCTCAAGCAAAAAAGTCCGTCCTCACCCTATACAAGAGAAGGTAAAACTATCATATTTTACCCTACCCATATGAAAGTAGGATGAAACACACTCTACAATTATTTCAAAATAAATGAGCAAATTAACCCTTAAATTATAGAGAAAAAACATTTAAGATCATAAACTTATCTTTTGTTCAATATTACCCTTTAATTTTTGAAAATGATGCAATCTGACCCCATGTTATTAATAAAAGTTAATTTTAACCATTAGTTGAATAGAAATGATAGAAAATGGTATCAAAAATTACTAAAAAAGATAAAAAAAAATTTTGGTCATTGTCTATAAGTTTTGGATCCTTTATTATAATTTTTATGTCATCTTGTTCATTTTTTAGGTCTTTTTCTATCTTGGTCCCTTACTATGATTTTTGAATCATTTTTTATTATTTTTTAATCAACTAATGATCAAACTTTTTAGGAATTAGATTGCATTGATTTTAAAAGTTAAAGGAATTTTGCACAAAAGATAAGTTTAAGATCTCATACACTCTAGATTTAGATTTTAAGGACCAATTTACTCATTTATTTATTATTTTATTCTTGAACCTGAATATAGTAATACTTCACTTTTTTTTTTAATCTATCCCTCTCTAACAGGCCCCTTTTCCATCTTTTACTCGTGATATATCTTATATGCAATATTTCGTTTCAAATGGGTTAAAAATACTAGCATCATACACCACTCCATTAACTGAAAATTTAAAGTGAAAAAAAAATTATATACTTAACATTATATATTTAATGTGTTTATTTTCAATTAAATTAAGATATGTAGATTTTTAGTAGATTATTTATTCTATAATAAATTCTTATTATTAACTTTATTAATATATTAAGATCCATTTGTTATAATTTAATTAACTATAAATATATTAAGTATATAGAGTTAAGTACATAATTTTTTTGAAAAAATAGAAGACAAAGAAAGATATGCATATTAAAAGGGAAAAGGGAAATTAATATATATATATATATATATATACACATATATGTCATTATTGCGAACAAGGAAGTATTATAATTCATGAGTGAAACGGGAAAATGCAAAGACACAGCAAAACGGGAAGAAAAATATCCAAAGACGACACATGCGTGAGAGCATCCAAGGAAAGCCTCAGCCTCGTACAGTAAGAGTTATGTGTGAAAGACGAGACATGGGATGCTATGGTAGTTTATATATATATATATATATATATTGAGTTCTCAAATATATAGAACGAAAATACCAGGTTATGATTGTGAATATTTATAAAATTATATAACGACTGCAACATTGTACTTGGATGTTACTTGTCAATAACGTTAATGTCGTGGAGTAGACTTGGTCAGAATGAATAATTATAGGAACCCCTCCAACTCCAAGCAACAACGACTGCGTCTGAAACTATGTACACATAGTTACCGTATATGGATCACTTATAATTGCATCGTTGCAGTAAATTTGTTATTATTGAGCGTGGGAGGATTAATGAATGACGCACCTCACCAGTAGCTGTGCATTGCCAATCGCAGCGTGCCGCGCGCATTGAGACCCAAATTAAAGCAACTCCTGCATTCAATAATAAGTGATTAAATAACCACAATATATATATATATATATATATATAAATAGATGGACTGGTCACCAAATTAAGTACAGATACTGGCCTCAATAAGTATCCATGAGTATGTATGAATTTTGATTCAGTGATTGTACTTAATATAAGCATTGGATGTCTGTACCATTTAAATTATTAAAATCTAGATCAATGATTATAAATTTATATTTCATTTAATATTAATAAATAAGTAAATTTATTTTAATCGTTGATTAGAATTTTAATAATTTAGATGGTACAAATATTCAATACTTATATTAAGTACAATCATCAAATTTAAATTTAAGTATGTATACTACTATCTCAACAAGGCCCAGCTGAAACATGGCCAACTTACGTTGAAAGCGGATGCACCACCGCCGGGACTCAAACTGAATCGTTACGTTTGTAAATCTTGTGGTGAACATTAAGATTCAGATTCTTTCACCGAAAGGTGAAGAGGAACATCACATGCTTCTCAAGTTCTCATATGCAAAATATTTCCTCAAGGAAAAGGACTTTTTGAGTTTGAGGTGCCCATTTCCCTTTCGTCGTCACGCCTTTCCCCTTTCACACACTCATCTGTCGCTCTTTCTTTTTTTTTTTTTTTTTTTAAAAAAATCACATGCTTTTCTTAATATTGTTGTTTTATTGCTTGAGAGGTACTCATACCAACCGCCAGTGTCTCCAATGTAAATGCCCCTTCATCTCAAGTCTTATTCTTCACCAAAAATTAACAAATCAGAGGCCGCAGGTTTTCCTGTTTTATGCTAATACTCATTTAATTAAGGTTAAAATATACAAAGTAAAACAATTGCACATAATCCCCTTCACTTTTAAAAGTTTAAAATTGACCTCTCTAATCTTTTATTTTTTTTATTATAGACTTTCTTACTGTTATTTTTTAGTTATGTCACTAACAGAAATTGCTGTATGATATAATAAAAAAATATATATATATATATATATATGTAGCAGTTTATGTGCTATCTTAGGTAAGTTGGTAATAATTTTCTAAAGATGGTATCCATATTTTTTGTTATTAATTGCACAAATTTTTCTTGTTTTAAAGGATAAATTTCTTTCTTAAGTTGTGTTAAAAAATAATTAAAATAGTTTTCCATGTTAAGTGCCATATATGCATCTCATTAATTTGATGTGGCAAAATCTATTAATAAAATAACAGAGTTATTAATAGCAGAGGGTTTTGAAAGAATACTAAAAAAAATTAGGAAAAAGATTAAAAGGTGAAGAGAGTTACACATAACAATGTTGAAATCTAGAATAATTTTGCATATTTTAACCTTTAATTAATATTTAGCTTATAATAAAACGTCAAGGAAAGGCTAAGGACAGAAAAGTCCGCTGGCGATGATATCAAAGGTCCGCGACATTGTGGTCATATCACAATTTTCCACTCCAAAATAAATACACATGCTGTCCTTCTTTATGCAACCTTATCTCCTCATTTATTTAGTTTGATCATTTATGTAGCAATTAAAGAGAATGTGGCCTGAGAAGATATAGAATAGAGAATCATGTGTACAGAAAAATGAGAAGCAATATATCGAAGTAGGTTTACCATTTGTGAACGGCGATTAATTTCCCTGCAGGTATTTAGAAGATTATTTACTGTCTGGGACACAAGAAAACACGAGTAGCTTCCTGGAAGGCAAGCCAATTAGGAGCAACACCTACAAGCTTACTTGACATAAATCATTGATAACTTTGAAGTTACATATATGCATGTTGACAGAGATCCTAACTTCTCAGAACCCCTACTTATGATTCATCACCTTTGCTAGACGCTTTTCAGAAGAAAGTTTCTTTTCTTCTTTTTTTTTCTTGTTCTCTCCTCTTTCATATCACACTATTCATGTTTTAGAATTGCCACGCATATTCTACAGTCTGGGATCCATTTTTTCGATCCTCTGATCAGTTAGAAAGTGAGGGATAATCCCATCATCTCCTCTACTTGACCAACATTTTCATCCAAGAGCCACTTCTCAAAAACTGACAATGGAGGATCCGCAGTGTTCTCAGATCTTTGCTTATTCCCCTCATCACGAGCCACAACATGAGCCTTGTCATCAGCAACAGCAGCAGCTTCAGAACTCTTTTGAGTTGGAGGCATAGAATCGCCTGTGGACTTGTCCCAGGCAGTATTACGAAGGTTCTCATAAGACAAAATGGAATCAAACTCTTCATGGGACATCATATCAGCACCGCCCTCTTCTCGCTCGTCTTTGGTTTGGTTGGACACCAAACTTAGAGCAGAATTCACCATGTTACTGCTATTTTGGATGTTGCTGTTGCTCGGAAGCTCTTTCTGGTCTTGGTTTGCTTTGAGAAGAGTGGTTGTGTCTGGCTTAGGAGAGGATCTCATCCAACCTTCTAGGAGGCGTGAGATATTCTCAGCGCTTGATGCATAGGTGGATGATTCAGACTGACTTGACCTTTGAGACGAGCCATGGTTTCCCGTCATATCTGAATCCCTTCCCTCATTAAAGCTTTTTGACACAAGCTGACTAGTTGTCGTGGAGTTTGCTGCCATGTGGGGGTCCAATCCTGCTTGAAATTTTTTCAGCTTCTTCTTCAGATGGGTGTTCCAATAGTTCTTTATATCGTTGTCTGTCCTTTGAGGAAGGTACGAAGCTATGGCTGCCCATCTGCTCAACAATCAACAACTCCACAAATTCAGTCATATCAAAATTCAAAATCATTCATCTGCTTCCTATACATTGGCCAGTAAAACAAAACGGTAGAAAAGAAAATCCAAGGTTTTTGCATAGAATTTGGGAATATTACTTGTTACCCAGTAGAGCTTGCAAATGAATTATCGTTCCTTCCTCGTGGGGAGTGAAGTTTCCTCTCTTGATTCCTGGCCTGAGGTAGTTCGTCCATCTAAGCCTGCAACTTTTGCTGCACCTTGACAACCCTTTCAACCACAGGAGGAGGGAAAGGGAAAAAAAAAAAAAAGAAAGAAGAACACTTTTAATCTGTCGGTTTCAATTCAAAATTTCTTAGAGATCAAGTTCAAAGCAAACATCTGGAAGAACGAGAGCAAATAATACTGTCATGAGTGCATCACATCCCTATATCTGTCACTCCTATTCCTTCGAACTGAAGCACAAACAAAATTCAAGACTTGGGATCCAAAAAGTGGATGAAATTACCAGTGTTAATAGGCACTGATCTCCAATTTCCTGGACCATGTTCTTGAATGTAAGAAACAAGAATGATGTCCTCCTCAGGTGTCCACGGACCCTTCTTGATGCCAACTTTCTCACAGCAAGGAGGCCTTCCCATGGCTTCTTTTCAACCCCAGTCTAGTGCCACAAACTTTGCAACGGAGCTTTCATATCGTAACAACTAGGACTGCTTATATATTGGGTGGTCGAAGTAGCATTTAAATTTTACACTCACTCATCTATCTTGCCGCGTCCCCTTACCGTTCTAACAGCTTTAATTTTATGGTACAACACACTATTGTTCTACTTTTCTTGGTCACGTGGCACAGAAGTTCCTCAGCAAAGGTGTGAAACTTCATTTTCCTAGCCCTTGTTTTCTCTAATTATGTCACTCTTAATTACCATTTATGTCATTGCAGGATCACCGAGGGACCCTTGATAGGTAATTCCACTAATATACACATGAATACGGTGGACATCTCATAAATTCAAGCCTCAAAAAAAAGTGTGCGTAATCTTCTCTCTACGTCCTTACATATAAAGTATTTTCGATAAGTTTATTGTGTAAATAATATTGATAAGTAATTAGATAATTTTAATTTTATTTTAATAAATGGAGAAGATATTAATTGCATGTTTTATCCATCATTACAATGATATTAGTTATGACTTTATCAGTGACAAAATTAAAAAATCATTAGAATTTTATATGATTTTGAATTACGCAATAGGTTAAAAATATAAGGGAAATTCTCTTGATCAATTAGAACTAAACGTTAATTCACACCGAACAAAATATTAAATACACAACCTAAACTTGTAAATGACAGCAGATTTATGACAGGTTTGACTTTTTTTTGGACTCGAGGTTTTGTTCCCGTTTTTATTTTCTTTTCCTTCTTGATTTGTACTGCTACAATAAATGAAATGTGCACGGCGGAGAAGAAAATGCCATGTTAAAAGAAAGGACAGAGAGACCAAGTTCTTTCTTTCTTTCTTTTGTTTTATTTTATTTTTTTTTGAGATTTCAGTAGTAGTTCTCAAATGGCGGAGTCAGACGTTAAGAGAACATTGAAGGAGATGGAAGATTATGATTGTGGTCTGTATTTGCAATGGCTTCTCTTCCTCTTTTTTTTTTTTTTTTTACTGCTCAACTCTTGAAATGATCAAATTAAATTTCGATAATATAAACTTATTCATTTATTTTTCCCTAAAGTTTAACATCTCAGTTAAAATATTAATTAAATTTAAATGATTACAATTTAATTTGAATAGTGTACATTAGAGAGAGTCTAGGAGAAGCCATGCTATTTTTGTAGGAGAGCGATGTTTACGAGTCATTTGTACTTTTGCTTCCCTCAAGGGTTGATTCCCACCGACAAGCAGGCTAGGACGTGTCATCTCAAATATAGCAGGAAGGCCTTTTTTTTATTTTTTGGGGCATTGAAGCCTATCTAATTATTATATGGCCGCTGTTCGCTTTTTCACTGATTTAATTAATTCATCCAAGTCCAAGAGCATGATTGAACTGCGTAGACTGGAATCCTGGGGAGAGCACAAACGAAAAATGAATCCAAAGGAAGTTACCGATGAGATCTTATTCAAGAGTTGGACGTTCTACCTCTTGTCATATTTATAGGATAAGAAGAGAAGAGTTTTTTTATTTATTTATAAATTATATCATTAAATTTTTATTGTAAATTTTATTTTTTTACCTTTCATTAAATATGAAAAGAAAAAATATATTATTAAAATGTACATATTTAATAAGGATAAAGTGATAACTTATTAAATTTTAAAATAAAGTTAATAAATTTTAAATTTTTTTAATATTAATAAAATATGTTAAAAATAATTTATAAATAAAATTAGAGAAATAATATACACCAATTTTGGCAACAGTGGACTAGCATTTGCACAATCTTCCATACAGTTCCAAATGCAGTCTCATGAATTTCATCTTCTACTCTATAAAGAGAAAAGGCGAATGACGCAGTCGGACAATCACAAAGCCATCAGGTATGATACCAGGCTTCGCCGTATCAGTGGCTACGTGTTTTTATTCCATATTCATGACATCATGTACTCTTGAGCACGAAGCATTAAAGGTTGTTTGTTGTTCCCAGGTTGAATGGTGCAAATTCGCCATATTTTTTTCTCTCAGTGACGTAACATTGACAGACCTGAATTCTCTGCTGTGCTCAGTAATAATTTGTCTGTTTTTGTGGAGTACTCTTTCCACTCATTCATTCATTAATTTATCAGTATTTTCTTAACAGACAAGCTTTGCTATGTGGCTTCTGTCACACCTTGGTGTCAAATGTGTCTCTTTAGCAGCAAAAGAAAAGGTAGATGCTGTCTGTCTTCCGACATTGCTGCTACTTTTCTTCCGTATACAAGCTTAAAACTCAAATGAGGTTTGATTATGGTGGCCGACTCTCCTCCGCATTGCTGCAGTCCATAACGGAGGCATGGAATAACACTACTGATATCTGATATCATATCAGAAATAGGGTTGCATGTGTATATATTACCAGCATTCGGCAGAGAATATGGGAGTAGTTAGATCAAGCTACTTAGCCAACAACTTAAGCGGCATGCCACCAACTGGACTCAATGCACCTGTCACTAGTCTTCTTAGATTCATTTTTGGAACATCGTAATAAGTAATAAAGGATTTCAGCCACATAAGACTTGCACACATAAAGTTGCACTAGATCGCCTGCAATATAAGATCCCACCCTGTGTCACAAGACGATGGTTACTAAGCCATGTATTAATTGGTAGGACCTTTTAATGCATGGCTTAAATGGCCGAGACGTATAGAAACAATAACTAGCCATTAAAGCTTCCACCGAAAAACAAATGAATTGGCAACACTGTAACAATATGGACACTGGAGAGTACTTTCAACATAAGAAAGAACATTGAGAGAGCGCAAAAACATGGCAAAACATCGATATCAATCTTAAAGAGATAGGTGTTTTTAGAGAGACCACATAAGAGTCGTATTCTTCCCGACTAGATTTACACTAACTTTCATTCCTCCGAAATACAATGTTTTTAAGAGGTGTATGAAAGGCGTCAGAATAACATTTTTTGATTTTACAGAGTATTCTATTGGGAGGCACCTATGCTTCTACCCCTCTGACAAGATGTCCACAAGGCCTACAAGCAATTCTGCATAACTAATTTGCAACTGCACCCGATCCGACAAATCGCCAATGAATAATTTTTGGATGCTGAGCAAGACACTGTTAAAGGCAGGATCACCTTCCCTGAGCCCATGGTGGAATTGATCCTTATCCCAGCATGTTATTCATCCTTTAAGTTTAAATACAACGTCTACAGTTCTACAAACATACAACTTCAATCATGTGGAAAAAACAAGTGCCAGAGGAAGAACATCAAATATGTAATCAACTAGATACATCTTTTCTTCTTTCATCTGTCTCGAACTTGTGCAATATCAGTAACATCAAATTTAGAACGATACAGTGTTCCCATTTCATCAACCGGTACCTTCTGATAAATATAGTGAGCAGAACAAATGTTTATCCTTCCCAGCGAATCGATTCAAACGCCATGAGATGAAAGATAATGTGGTGCTGCAAAATGAGCATGCTATCCGCATTTTCATATGCAACAGAGTCGACAAAGTTGCGATACATGAAAACCCCACCCCACAGAACACCCAAATTGTATTTTAGTAAGGTATATAATGATTGCTAATATGTGAAGAGACAGCAAGGATCTTTCAAATGTGAATGCGCAAGTCATTCTGTTTCAACAGGTGATCAATCAATTTGCAGCAGATATTGGCCAGCATCTCAACCCTGCAAATGCCTCTGGAAAGTGAGACCATTGAGCACTCATTACTCAATGCAAGACGCATATCCATCTACGATGTTTTTCGTTGCTTTCCTTCCACTGCACAATCAGTAAACACATCTTACTATGAGTTTTTCCTTCAAATTAACAATAAGACAAGCTGCCCAAAGGGCGGCGACTTGTGGAAATGTACGTGTTATGCACAAAAAGAAAACCCCCACAAAATTCAAGAATTAAAAAGCTTAAAATCTTCTTGTACCACAGCAACTCGGCAAGCAATACACAGTTTGTAAGTTTTTGACCATGTATTAGCGGAACAGTAACAGAAACTCACAGCCATGGGATCTTTTCTTGGCCTTGATGTAGTAGCTATTCTCCCCTCCACTTTCTGACTTATGCTCCCGCACAGGGTGATAGTTCAAAGATAACAATTCTTCCTTTGCAGTATCAAGTCGGTGCTTTTCATCCCTCTGGTATAATTTTATTTCAGAGACAGCCCATCAATCCTCAGTGGTAATTAATATGGTCGTCAATGGAAATACAAACACTTACATGTGACTTCTTCAAGTTCATTATCTGTTGCCTGCAAAGCCTAAGTTCCATCTCAAGTGCGTGAATCCGAGATTCAGCGGGCACAACACATTGCTCCACTAGTTGTTTTTGCCTGCCCCGGATAACCTCTGGTTGCCACACCTTCAAAGCTGCAGAGGCTTGCCTGCAAAACAGTCACAAAAAGCAAATTTAAGTTGATTATAATTTATAACATATTATATATATATATATATATATGGATATATATGGAAGCAACTGTAATACACTGATGAATAGAAGATTCAGTCAAGCTCCTTTTTTCCCATAATAAAAATAGAGCAGCTTAAAATGACTGCAAATCTTTTCCTTCGTACATATCAATAGAAATATGGTAGAAATTCAACGTGGTTTGGCGGTAAGAGTTCTTCAATTTTAGCTCAGTAACTACTCTCACACACACATTCACCAGGGCAAGAAGCGGACCAGCGACGAACCTGACCTTGCGGAAATTCGACAACTCTGCAGCAGTTTCTCTCATTTTGGTGCTCTCTTGAATTATCCGGTTCTCAATATCTCGGAGTTTTCTGGAATGTTCAGCAATCTGGCTCTCCTTTCTAAATATAGCCCTCCTATGGGCGGCTATTCTTCTCTCCTTGTCTTTCTCGAACCTAACGGGCAGGAAATGAAATTAAAAAAGGTATTTAGTGCCAAAAGAATTTTAATCCACCGAAGGACCCTGCAAGATGTTGGTAAATAGAGGAAGTCCGAATTCCAGTGGTACCTGATTTTGTAAAGGGATTTGGATGATGGCGAAGTTGAAGATGGGTGACAAGAATTGAGAAAAGAGTTGGCAGAAGAAGTTTGTTAAGAGGGAAATCAGAGGAGAGAAGGGGGTTCCATAAGGGGTCCTCGTCGGAGAGGCGGCGGAGGCGTCGGCAACAGATGGAGAGGCAGCAAAGGTCCTTATAGGTAAATCCACTGCTTTGAACTCCTATTTCCAGAATTTTCCTCCACAGCTCATCTGGTAGAACGGCCATTTGAGAACAACACCTTCACAACTAATCGCCGGCGATACTTTCCCACCGCGATGCTAGTGTTTACGGAAATCTCGAATCGGGAAGGCTCCTCGGCGTTCAGCAACCTTTTCTTTTCATTAATATGCATTTTTTCCCCCGTAATTCATGTATATTTAACAGGGAATAGCGGCGAATTAATTTAAAAAAAAATTAATCGTTCATTTCATATAATTTTAATTCAATTATAATTTAATTTTTAAATTTTAATCCGTTATAATTTAATTTAAAAATTTTAATTTAATTATAAATCAATCTTTAAATTTTAACCCTTGCAATTTAATTCTTAAAATTTATTGACCTTTATGTTTTAAAAAATAAAATTATAAAGATTAAAAATATTTTAAAATTTACTAATAATATCTTAAATTACTAATATTTATAAATATTTAAATTTTAAAATATTTTTAATTTTGATACTTTTATTTTTTTAAATATAAAAATTAATATTTAAGAGATTGAAATTTTAGAGATTAACTTATAAAAAATAAAGTTTAAAAAGTAATTTAAAATTGAATCAAAATTTCAGAGATTAAATTACAGTTAAGATAAAATTATAAGAACTAAATAATTAATTTTTTCTTAATTTTATGTTGATCCTAAACTTATATATTATATAAATTATTTTTTAACTTTTCAAAGGAGTGTAATCTAACCCTTTTAATAACGTTGACCATTAATTAATTAAAAAATTAAGAAAAGAATATTAAAAATTACAAAAAAAAATCAAAAATTTTATATAAAGAATCCAAAAATTATAAATAATTATCTAAAAATTACAATAAAAAACTTACTTTTTAATCAACTAACTGTCGAAGATAATAACAAAGATTAACTTATATTATTTTTAAAAGTTAATCGAATAATTTACATAATAAATAAATTTAAAATCTAAAGTACTATTGAATAGATAATTCACTTATTTACTCTGTTTAAAAATCTGAACAATAGCTGCTCGCTCATATATACTTGTGATGACATATATTTTAACTATTGTCATTGTCAATATCAACAAAAAGTAATTGAGTTATTAATTTTATTTTAAAAAATAATAAATTTTTAATCTTACTTTTATTTAAATTTACATTATATCCCCTCCTGTGATTGATAAGTTTAAAACATGGATAATATTAAAAAAATTAATTAATCTTCTATCAAGTACTTAATAGACAAAAAATTTATAAGATGTGTTTGATATAGGGTGATAACCACTGTGATGCATAAAATTTATAAGAATCTACAGGATCTTAGGATAAAATGTGTTTGCTTCTAATTTTTACACTAAAAATTAAGGGAAAGAACTTTCAGACAAATGAGATCACATTATTTGTGGTAAGTTTTTTTTATCCAAACATTATTTGTGATTTGATTATTTCAATATTTGTGATTGATGATCGATGTCAATGGTTGAAATTTTATTACATTCGTCACACAATAACTAATATTTTCTGATACAATACAACTAAAATATTTTACGACATAGATATAGATTATAGATCACTGGTTGGGAAGTTGAACTTTGAATGGATTAGTCAACTCCTCTCCGCCCAATTTATGTTGACATTTGAGTACTTGACAGTCATCCAAGTCTTGAATGAGATCAGAAAAGTAAGAGGCCGATGAGAAAAGTCAGCAACACGCGCTGCCAACGTGAAGAACCAAAGGTCAGTTTTCCCCCGTTGTCTGTCAATGAAGTTAATATTTTGGCTTATGTTCGTTCACTTTCTCAGCCATTCATGAAACTAGATTATAGTCGACAAGTCAAGTACATGCATACATGTACACCTTCGTCATCTAGAGGGTCATCTACTTTTTATCACATGTTATCTCAATAAATGCCATAACCAACTCCTCAAGTAAACTCAAATAATAATCATTCTGCTTTCGATATTGCCTCTCTTCCGCAAAGCTCAAGCTTGCAGTCACAGTCACAGGGAGAGTTGGAACTGAACTCCCAGCCAAAGGGTCACTTCATTGCCCGAGAAGAGAATGTTATGCCTATCCCGCTCCTTCACCTCTAAAAGCCCTAAAGAAGGGTTCAGAGCAAAACCGGATGGATATACCTTGTAAAAAAAAAAAACAAAAACAAATCCATAACATCTCGTTCTTGAACGCAGAATTCAGTAGATAGATAAATTAGGAATAACGGGCTACGAGGAACCTCCCTTCAAGTGAACATGACGGCTCACATAACTTACAACAAGATGCTGAAGGAATAACTAAAATAAAGATGATATTTAAGAAATATACTCCTAGATCCCGTTACAGGTTACTAGAAAACAGAAGCACTGCAGTTGCATGCAACCAATTCATTTCCTGTGTCTAACACTTACAATTCGTGTTCTCAACCTTGTCTAGTATACGCTATACTCAGAAAGATACTCAAAGATTAGATAATTTACCACAGAAACATGTACGATACTTGGAATGCAGAAAAGCCAACAGCTGTCTCAGAAAAGGAAGGAAAATAGCGTAAAACAAAACTTGGGAAGCAAGGAACTAATTAAATCTAAACAAACCAGACTCTTTTGTTCCCCGAACGAGGGAAAATCACGTTGCAAAGGCTAAAACTGAAATCGGCAAGAGCACCTTCCACTCAAAATTAAGTGATAGCCTTAAAAGAAAGTCTTCCATCTATGACAAGCAAACAGGAAGTTAGGAATACACTGTCCATGCATTGATGTGTTGATGCAAGAAAAATTAGAATGCAAGTGCTTGCATTTATATGCATGACTATTAGTTCATGCACTCATGGCTCTAAATTTAAATATATGCATGTCACTAGCATAACTTGTCATAGAACACATACACCACTCGACAAAACTTTCAACATAGTGCAAGTTAATGGCTACCAGGACACTGCTTTATGATGCATGAAACAACCTTATCATTGTTTAGCAAATAAGAAGTGTTCGCCATAATTATAGTGCGATGGTAAGTTTGTAAAAGCGTGTGCATAAGCATACCCCCAAAGTAGCACAATATGAAAGGAAAAGACGTTCTATCATCTGATTTACGCAACCAATATACATAAGCAAACAGCGTTAAACAGGTATACTCTAGTGACTTGCAGTTACCTGTGGACCCCGTAGGTCTCAGGTTCAATGGGCTAGAGGCCAGTCCTGTACCTCACAGAAGGACCGTGAATGGGTGAGTTGGGGAGAGATGTCTGTAGGGTTGGAGAGGTTTATTAAGTGGTTTGGGTAGTATTTGGTTTGTTGTGAGAAAAGTGCCTGATCTCTCAAACACTAGGCTGAGGAAGAAGCTGTGTCTCTTCTTCATTATCTTTATCTTCTCTCTCTTCTTCATTATCTCTATCTTCTCTGTTTTCTTTTGCTGCTTTCATGGCCGTAATGCGCTGTTTCTTTGTGTAAGCTCAAACTATCTATTGTATGAGTCTCATTTCCTTCACAGGAGGAGGCTATTTATAAGCTATTATTAATTATTAATATAGAAAAAAGAGTTCCGCCAGTAACACTTAGTTTCCACATATCACATGTATGCCAGAAGTCTTACACAACTGCATTAGTAGTACAATACTAGTGCTAAATTTACAAGCTCCATAGGAATCGGTGAGAAAACGGTTGCAATTCAAATTTGCATTCTGGTGATAGTAACATGCAACACTATCTAATCACAAAAAACAATTAGATGATGAGAACGTAAATGCAACTTGAAAGTAGACAAGAACAATGGAGCACTACCCCTTTACCACAAGAACAAATTTCCTGTCTATGAAATGATTAGTGTGTCTTTAACATCTAGTGGCTCATCATCTGTCTAAGAAACCAATGCCGGTTCAAAACATCATTAAATTTGTGGCTGCCCCAACAATGAAGGGCTCCATTAATAATCGTGTCAAGAAATAAAAAATAACACCCAGTGTGATAGAAATAGGAAGTGCAGGCAGAGCTCGACGGCAAACTGACAACAAAATTAGAGTGCAACCTAGTCCTGATATAATTGCAAGGTAACAAGCATACACTGTCATAAGGTCATACATTGCAGCTCTACCCACAAGGACACTGTAGAAAACAAAGTCTCCAAGGCCAAGTTTAATACCCCTATCAGCAATCTCCACATCACCATCCTGCCTGCCTTCATTCCCCATTCCAATCATTTCAACAAGGGGAGACGTTTCCTCACCAACAATTTCATCATGGTCCCCGCCATTAAATTGCTGGCCTTCACTGGATGGAACGATAACCGTCGAATACTGCGACGAATCACTACTTGATGAATGCCTTTCTCGTACATTGCCCACCAGTGGCGACCTCTCCCCATCATCTCTGTCACTATGAGCCTCCTCATTCTGAAAATTCCCCAACGTCACTTCAGAATAGTCGGCATTACGGCGACCTTCGTTCTCATTTCTATTGACGCTGTCCCTTGACACCGCTTGAAGCTCGATTGACGAAGAATCTGAAACTCCAGCGACCAAAATCCCTAAAGACGAGGCTCCGCGATGCCCAGATCGAGCGACCGTAGGTCGAGCCTCGTACACCAGGGCAGGAAGCTCTTCATCCCTAGTTGAGGCCAAATCCACCAACAGCTTAAGCGGGCCACCGGGTGCCAAAACAGCCACCAAATCATACACAGCCAATGCAACTAGCAAAACCCAAGTAGTCCACTCGGGCAATTTAGTGAACCAGGCCGCCACAATAATCCCCAAACAAACCATGTAGGATTGCCTCAGCAAAATTGGGATCCCACCCGAAAACACAGAGAGAACGCCGACAACAGTGAAATTGAAAAGCAGAAGAAAACAAGTAACGGAATCAACAGGAATAGAAAATTTTTCAATGACGGACAAGAAGATAGAACCGCCCATGGTGCCAAGAACGAAGAAGGCGGAGAAGCGCATGTAGTTCTTGAGGAAATTGGTGAAGTTGTAATAGTAAAGAAGAACGAGGAGGAAAGTGACGATGGCGATTAAGATGACGAAGACCAAAGCATTGAGAAGAGCACCTTCGAGCTTCTGGGAAGCAGAGTCGGAAGGGTTCTCGACGTAGACGAGGTTGGCAGCGGTGCGAATGGTATCGACAGAAGCAGGAGAGAAGGGATTGGAGGCAGAGAGGGAATAGACGAGGAGAACGACGAGGAACATACAGATGGAGACAGGGCACATCACTCCGATGATCTCAACGCCGATGGATTCCAGGATGCTCGACTCCATGGTGATTAAGGCGATAATCACCACCGAGGAATTTGGCCGAGCAGGGACGGGTGTGAATCGCCTCGGAATTTCGCTATGGCATATTGGGGGTTTGGGATCACCGATCAAATTAAGATCTCAAGTTACCTTATCATTTTATGTCTCATGCCCAAAAGCTCTCAGCGTCTCTGGTCTATATTCTTGTGACTGTCAGGCTTACTTTTCTTCCGGATTTTTTTTTTTTTTTAAATACCTTGAACTTTTCTTCTGGATTTGAAACTCCGGCCCCGTCTTTTGCTTTTTTGATTCACAAAGGGTCAAGGGCTTACCCTCCTTGTGGCCGATTTCCCAAAACAGTACCTGACCTTGGGGATGCATTTAGGCATTTACATCTATCGCTAACGCTGATACTTACTGCACGTCTGACCTAAAAATAGATAAATGTATATAACATGGTAGCTTTTACAAATAAAAATATAATCTGGTTTGTTCGATTTAAATTATATAAATAAATAATCATTAAAAAATGGACTTTTAGGTTTTGCTTCTTTTAATTAAAAAAATTTAGGTGCAATTATTATTATAATTTTTCAAATTATGTATTTTGACGCTGATACTCACTGTTTGAAGAAATTAATGGTCGATGCCATCACGGACCAGATGCAGTAGCTTTGAAGAACTGCGAGAGACTCAGATTTAATATTTTTAAGGCGAAGGGAGATTACTCAGGATGGAGGCTGATCTTTGGTGTGGATCTTACTCTCTTGAAGCTTTTCCTGGGCGGATCTGCGATTCCAATGAGCAGGTGCAGTCATTCTCTATATTGGCCGTCTTTCAACGTGCAAAACAAGAGGGCTCAAAGGCCATGTTGCTCGTACATAAGCGTCATTTCGTTCCATCTCGCGAGTCAGGCATAAGCAAGCTAATTGTTTTGGATCCATCTTTAGAATCTTCGTGTTCTGCGTTGGATTATACATGAATGATGCATATCTATGCTTTGAAAGCCCCGCATTTGTTAAAGCACGCCCTGCTTAATGCTCAAAAGTCAAAACTTGAAGGCTTCGGTGTATCTTCCTTTCGTCTGGAGCCTTCTGGCTCGAGCGTCTATTTTCAGTATCTTTGGTTTCTTGTTTTGGCTGTCAATACTGCTTTAATGCTGCTCTGGGTATGCGTTGCTTTTATATTTTTGCGTGTCTTGCGGCGTTAACGGCTGGGAACCAATGGTGTCCCTGTGTTGTACCTTGTAAGTGATGTCTCTTGCTGTCATGTTCGTTCTAATTATTAAGCCTAGTTGTTTTCCACCCCATTTGGAATGCCTCTCTTTTCATGCCAATCTTTTTTCGTTACCATTGGATGAATTTTAATGACCCAAATTAGTTCTAGAAATTTGAGTTGAAGTGTTTATGGACTTTTTTTTTTTTTAAATAGTGCATAGAGGTGTCTTCATACTTAAAGCAATTCTATTTATGACAAATATAGACACATCTCTTAATATGGTTGAATTTAATTCACTATATTACGAGAGATTGTTTTTTTTTTACTAAATCCAACCCCATTAATTATGAACTATTATATTTAACAATAAAAATATATAATGCACGGATAATGATACAATTATCAATTGAAATTTTAATTTTAAATAATACATAACATGACACATTTTCAATGCACATATGCATGTTTATAAAAAAATATTAATTTGTAAAGAATATAATTTTAATTATAAACTCAATATATATCATTTATGATCCTTTAACATCAAAAAATTTTTAGTTCATCACTCTATCATTTCCTCGGTTAATTTTCTACGTTAATGGAGCCCATGTGTAAAATTTTTAATATATTTTTTATAAAATATTTAAAGTTAGTCCCTTCATTTATTTTTTAAATATTTTTTCTCCCTCTCTGCTCTCCCTCCCCCGCGACTCATCTCCTCTTCTTCATCATTATTCTCATCTCTGCAACTCAACTTCAACGCCAAAACTAGTGCCAATGTCCAGACCACATTCACCATGCACGATCATCACTGTGTTTGGAGCTAAGATCAATGTCACTGTTGATGATATTTCCATTGACACCCACCTCCAATCTTTTCCCTCCTCCGCTGCATTACTACCACCCACCTTTACTTTCTCTCTCCCCCTTTTCTATAGGCAATCAATGACCTCATCACCACACACAATAAACCCACACACACACTCTCTCTCTCTCTCTCGTGTGAAGAAGACAGAGTAGTTGAGGTCGTAATGAACTGGGCATTGGTGTCGGTGAAGCTTCACTTGCGTCGTTAATCTCATCTTGTTAACCAGAGTAAGATTTGATTTAAAAATGAAGAGGGAGAGAGGAGGAATGAAAGGCAGAGAGAGAGGGAACGAATGATGATAAAGGTCAAGAGCAGTGTCACAATTTTGAACTCGAGACCTGACTAATGAGAACAACATGCTCTAACCAGCAAGCCCTCCCCATGCATACCTTCTTCCACCTCCCACATGAAACCCTCCCATACACTCAATTCCTTTGTCTCATTCATCGCTTGTCCCATCATACAAGCTTCCCGCCGTCACTGCACCATGCAGGCATCTTCTCTAGGTGCCTTATAACCCTCCTGATGCATCTCTAAGTGTTTGGGTGCCTTAGCTACCACATCTTAATGTCGGTGCACTGTGCTTGTGCCGATCAAGCATCTTCGAAGCTTGGAGAGAGAGAGAGAGAGAGGAGAAGAGGGAGATGGGGAGAGACGAAGCGGAGACGAGAGACAGAGGAGGAATACAGCAAAAAATATAAAGTTTCACTCTTATATTTTATCATTAAAAATTATTTAAAAAATTTATCTGACTAACAGAAAATTAACACTAGGGTATGGAGGAATTAAAATTCTGAAATCAAAAAATAAAATTGAGTCATAATTAAATTTAAGATCAATTATAATTTTTTGTGTGCGCTTCAAAGACATTTTTGATCCTTAACTTTTTTAAAAAATTAATCTTTATCCTTTCATTACATCTAAAACTTAGTTTTTTTTTAAATATAATATTTGATTTTAAAAGCAAATCAAAAAATTATATTAATAATAAAAAATTAATATCACAATTTTAAAAAAATTAATTTTAAAGTATCAAATCATAATTTAAAAATATCGGATACGTGAGGCAGTGTTTTTGGAATCCTTTATATCTTTAATAGTAATGTATCTAAGAATTGATCCGTGTTACTAAATAGTAAAATTGATCCAATAATATGAAAAATTGAGGACAAGGGTGAGTCATTTCAATAAAGATGAAGAAAATCCAAGCTCGGAATGTTTGCAGTGGTTGATGTGCCCATCTTTCTTCGGCTGGAATGCGAATGGCACCTAGAAGTTTCAACGGTAGTGGTGTGCCTGGTAATCTATATGAAAATTGATTACAACGCATAGTTAGGTAATCTAGCTTTCTATATGAAGCATTGAAGCGAAGTTTAGAACTAAGAAGAGAGTTTCCTTGTGTGAGATCGCTATAGTGTCCAGTGATAAGAGCATCAAGATTCCTGAAACGTGAAAACCCAGGCCAGGACTTGAATGGAAAGAAATAAAGAATATATCTATCACACTGCGCTGCGCATATATACATTCAGTTGATGATTGGTTGGGACGAGGATGAGGATAGGGAAAGGACGGCCGAGACTGGTTGCCGACAAGGAACAAAGCTGGATAATGATTGCAGTTACAGATGAGGCCTTTTGATTGCTTTCGGTTTGACGACGGTGGACCCTCGAATGCAGATTACATTTGGCGGCCGTGCGGCCTCCTTAATTGACGTTATCTCTGCCACCAGATAAAACGACAAGGTTCATCTTCCATCCAATCCAACTAAACGGCACTCTTCTCCTCCTCATTCCCTGTGCTCCGTCATTATCTTTTTCTTCACACTGAATCCTTTCTACATTTTTCCGTTCCCTCTGGCCCTAACACCACTTTTGCTCCACCAAGTCATTTTCAATCACCTCTCGGTTTAGCATAACCGCAACTTTTGTCCTCTTCCCCAGCAATTTCCGGCTTTCGTAATTAATATATATAGTTAACATGTCAAATTATATTTTACTTTAATAATTAATATTGCTTTAAACTTCTAAATTTAGTCAATATAAAGGTACAATTTCGGAATTAATACTCCCTCCATTTAATATTTTTAATAAATCTCACTCTTTAATTAAATAATTATTTATTTTTAAATTAACTCTAACTTTTTATATTCACCTTTAATAAATACCTTACAATAAATATAAATTAATTCATTAATAAAAATATATTAAAAAAAAGACTATAAATACACTTTAAAAAATTAAAAATATTTTATATTTTTAATATATAATTCCTCAAAAAATACTTTATATTTTTTATCAGGGAGTAACTAGTATTATTCTAAAATTTTAAAATGATGTAAAATAAAAAATGATCATTAAACAAGAACTGGAACAGTAAATGAAGTTCTTTTTGCCGACAAATAGTACGTGAAGCTAAAAAAAAAAAGATTTCCCAATTTGTAATGTGTAAATAATAAAATTTGTCATGAATTTAACATAAAATACAAAATATTTAGTATGTGACACAAAATTTTTTTGGCCAAAAAGTATGTCACAAAATTTTTAATCAATGATGCAATTCATGTTTCAATAATATAAAATGATTATGGAATCGTTGGCAAAAAAAAAAAAAAAAAACAAGCTGGGAATCTGTTATCGGCCAAATTTTTTTTTTTTAACAAAGGTTATTGAATATTGACCGTTTCAAAAATGTACGCTACGTGCAGACGTGCAGTAAAGGGGGTCTGACTAAATAAATAAGCTCCAAGTTGAAGCCTCTTTGGCCAAAAGAAGGCGCTCTGTTTCCGCTTACTAGCTGTTCCACGATGCGGAGAATCGCCGCCGGCGGCGCTGGAGCTGAAGCAATCGCTGGAAACATTGACATTCTGACGGAGATCCTTCTCCGAGTGCCTGCCAAACCATTGCTCAAATTCAAAGCCGTCTCGAAGCAATGGTTGACTCTCATCTCCGATCCACAATTCTGTCGATCCCACACACTTCGCCATCACATCCCTCACTCCGTCCCGAGCGCCCTTCTCCTCAACAACAATTACAGACCCTCTCCTCACTTCCAAATCGTCCCTCTCCGAACTTCCAGCTCCGGTTCACCTGTTGTTCGTGTTCCCTATTTTGGTTACCTCAACGTTCCTCGCGTTACTATCCTTCAGTCGTGCAATGGGCTGCTTCTCTGTTCCTCTGGCTTCCTCATGCCGCTCGAAGAACGTATGTCGGTACCCTGGGCCTCCTATTTCCCCTTTCCTACCTCTGCCGATTACTGTGCTTCTGTTGTGACCGATGATGATTGTGGCTTCAGGTATTTTATCTGCAACCCCACCACCAAGCAGTTCACTGTTGTTACTTTACCTAATCGGGAAATCAGGGATCACTTAGTAACGCTAAACCTGGCTTTTGACCCTTCGAGATCCCCGCACTACAAGGTCATTTCTATCTCTTCGGGAATTTCAGGTGTTACCGACGATGGTCCTAGTCTTGAAATTCGAGTGTATTCTTCGGAGACTGATTCTTGGAGCAAACGTGGTGTTTGTTTCATTGCTCCCTTCAGCTTAGCAATTCATGCTGGTGTTTACTGCAATGGTGCCATTCATTGGTACAGCCAAGGCGAGGATTCTGTGTATTTTGAGGTGGACACCCAATGCTTAAAAACACTGCCAATGCCACCAGACAGTGAGGATTGGGAATACAGGAATCTTGCGTATTTTGGGGAGTCCAGGGGTCACTTGCATATGATACTGATTGAACCTCATCAACGTGTGGAATTTGATATTTTGCAGATCAATAAAGATTACTCTGGGTGGTCTGTGATATACCATGTGGATCTCACTCCGATGCAAACTTCATTCCCGGAGCTGATTTGGTATTTCAAGGAAAAAAATGAATCATTTTCTATCCTGTGTGTTCTTCGCCAACCGAGAGAAGAGGACTCCATGGTTGTCTTGCTGGTGGATGGTAGAGTCATGTCCTTTAATCTGGTGAACCATACTTCAAGACAGCTCTGTGATTTAGAGCTTCATGTCATGCCGGATGGTTGCGCTCCATTTTCTCATGAACGCAGTGAAGCATTTCAGTACTTCGAGAGCCTCTCCGTTCTTGGACCATCAAACGCATGAGGAGTCCCAACCCTATGTATTTATGTACTGTGTCATATCAAACATGTAACATTTGAGTCATGACCGCCTCTGTCAGGCTGAAAAGGGGAACTCGTTTTGGCCTTAACTTTCTTACGGAAGACGGAACTAGCAAACTGGTGTGCGTTCTTTTGTGGGGGATAGCTTGCAAATATATGTATGTAGCAAATAGCTGTTTCTATTGCTCGAGGGAAAAAAACAAGACAGCTCCGATGTGCTGGACCTGAATAGTGATGCTCTGTTGAGCTCCATATCGTTCGGCCAAGCAGCATGCAATATCTCTACGAGGCCGTCTAGCTTCGTAATGTTATTCCACTTTCCCTAGTAAGCCGTGCTTCATGCAGTCTAACGTTCTAATGTTTTTCTCTAGCTTTAGCAGGTCACACAAGTCAAATGATATATGTTAATATATGTAAGTGATTAGTAAGACTGGATGATTTGTATCTAATAAATGAAATTGTGGCTGGGTTTTATACAGTACTACTTCAAATTGTTCTTACGGGAGTCAATCATCATGCTCGTAATTTATTCTTCTTTTAAATATGTTGACATCATTAAAACTTTGAGTTGTCCAGGTTTTTTGAAGCATGGGATGCTTTAAGTAAGGAATGAATTTCCTGGAAGCACAGATAGATGAACACCGGACGAAGCATTACATAGATACAATGACGAGAATATTTGAAATGTGAATGGGTATTCAACACGAGTATCCAATACGTGTTGAACATGCACTCAGCTCCTCTTTCAAAGTATTCATACTTCGCAGATGATTTTGTATGATTGAATAATAAAACGATCCGCTCTTGCGGTTCTATTTTAGAATGAACTTACGTTCAGTTCAGATTCACACACCGGGAAGAATTTTGTGGGAAAACCTTGTAAATGCATTCAGATACTTTATTGATTCTTGAAAGTTATACCTCTTCAACTGTGGTGCCTGTGACATGCCTTACTCAATGGAATAGGAGGATCAGAGTGTGATCCATCCACAATTTGTTCAAATGCCCACTTATTAGCAGCCTGAGTGTAGTGCACACCATCCCAATTAACCCAAACCGATGGATCCATGCAAGGCTGCCCCGCTAACACCTCTTTGCCACGAACCTTGATCTTTCCTCCACATCCAATGTGTATATTGTAGTTGTACTTCCCACCATGCCCACAGCAAGCTCTCAGGGGCTCCATAAAGCCTACATTTGATTATCAACCAAAACACTTGATTTCTTACCAACGATCATCACTTTCTTACATGGATCAAACAAACAAACCTTATGAAGAAGGACTCACCATGCTTCTTTGCTTGACTGATAGGGAGTACTTGACAGAGTAGACATCAACATAGGTAATTGCAGCCAAGGGAAGTTTCTTTCTGAGATGAAGCACAGCTGCTTTTAATTGACGATTAAAGTATCGAGCAACTTCGTTGTAAGGGATGACGCATCCCGCTTTATCCACCTGACTTGTTTTCACTGGATGAAGGTCCATTATGTATGGCAAACAACCAACTGGACCTGTATTGTGTATCCAGAACGACCTTCCTCCATGATCATATACATACTATCAAAAGCAAACAGATCAGCACGCTTTCTATTGAACAGTTAAAAGCAACAAGCAGCAGCGTTAGGTGCGTTAATTAGTAAAAAGAGATTGCATTAATTTCTTCTTAACTTGGGTTCAAATTAGACTATAATTGAGCTTGAGCATGTTCTTTACGTCATCTGAGAAAAATGGCTGTCTCGGATAAAACTCAAGGACACATGATTCTGACACCGAAAGAACAAAACTAAAAATGTAAGCACCTTAACAATGTTGTTGAACTGTGCTAAAACATCAGGAACATATGCTTTGACTTGATCTGTGGACATGTTGTGGAAATAACCTGCCGTCAAGTCGTTCTGCCCAATATCGAAAGTGTACAATGCACGAGAAAAGTCTTGTGCTTTTGGTAGCAATGCTGTATATACTCCTCCTGAGAAAAAATTCCATGACGTCTACGTTAAGATTCCACTGACCGTATATGTAGTTGTAGTTAGCTCTCTGGGAATGAGAACAGATTAGAGAAGAGAAAATGAAAGGCATGTGGACACAGCCATTACCTTCATTGCGATAAGTTTGAGATCTGCGCTGGAAATCACTGAATTGATTGAACTGAACGTCCAAAGAGAAAGGACTGAACCCACCAACCTGATGAAGGGTTGTATTCTGAGGCCTGATGGTGGATCCGGCTGTGGCGAAGTTGGCTCCATGCGTAAAATTGGAGCCAACCGAATCAAGGAAAGCATTCAAATATGGTAGACCAAGCTTCTCAGCTTTTGAAGAAAAATTCCAAGAAAAAAAAACTGTCATCAATAGTTAATTCTCACAACTAGATAACTGCGAGTCTGCAAAAGAACATAGAAATTCTTCAAATAATTTGCGTGAAATATCCTGTATCAATCTAGATCAGTAGTGTATCCTTGGTATCTGAACATTTTTTTAAGAAGAAAAGGACAATTGAAATTGTAAACAAGTGGGTATTTGCCGCATCTGGCTACTGTTTCTTATTTGTAACCGATGACGACACAGTTTTCCATTGATTGTACACTAAGCAACCGGGGCATAGTGCTTCAAAAATGTTGAAAGAATAATTTTAAAACGTGTCATAGTTATAATGTAAACCAATCGTTCACGTTAAAAATGGTGAAACTACTTAATGGAAGGAAAAGGGCAATGTTTTCAAGTTGTTCAATGACACTACCCTTTTTACACGGAAGCTTTTTGTCCTTTTGTGTTTGTAGCAGTAGCAGATTAGCAGCACATGACCCGATAATATATATATATATATATATTTTTTTTTTTTGCCTGAAAACATGTCCCAATAATTTAACAAATGGTAAAATTAAACATGACATGTTTGTTTTTGATGCAACCTCGATATCAGGTGAAAAAAAAAAAGGTATTTAAGCGATCTTTCCTTAAAACCATCAAGTCCACAGAAAATGACCATACTGTTCTTTCACGGGGGTGGGACTGTGGACTGGTTTGTATGCATGTAGTATACACCAGACGCGGATAAGCCATGCATATGGCCAAATTAATTGATGTTTCTTATGACGGAGTAGATGACATTGACTGCTACAAACGCAATAAATTTGAGATCTGAATCTGAATTGATAGGAGTCGTGTATGAACAAAGAAGAGTTAAAAGGTGAAACGTACCTATGAAATCAATGACGAGACGGCCGTCGCAGTAGCGTCCGGCAGGGCGGCGGAAGAAGGACTCGCCGTGAGGAGGGCCGGCTTGGCCGAAGGCAGCAGAGAGGCCACCGGTGTCAGAATTGGAATCTCCAAAGTTGAATATGGCCGGAAAATCACAGTCACTTGAAGCATCTGATAACAATGGCTCTGGATTCAGTGCCAGTGAGAGGAAAAGCCACACACACAGCGCACGAGCTTGAATCAATTTGCAGACTCGCCTCATATTCCAAGTTCCAGCGGCCAAGGTTTTGGGGAGTGAGGGGATGGAACGGGGAACAATGGCTTTGGAGTGAATTGAAGACTCCAAATGCAACTGTATGCCTATTGCCTAGAGATAAGAGAAAGCAAAAGGGCACCTTCATTATATATTATATAATTTTATTTATAGAAAAGCCTTAAAGCAAATTCAGAGAATCAGACTCAGACACAGCGAGGAGCCCACAAAGGACAAGTTTCTTCACTATTTTGAGCTTTCGATGGTGATTATCTCTGATCTCTGCGCCTGCAAATTGCAATCAACGGCCATTGTCATGGAGAAATAGTTGAGTTAGTGTTAGTCGGTGTTCGAATGGTCCAAAAAAATAATTATTAATTTTAAAAATCTAAAATATGTTTTCCCAATAATTTATTATCTATCTAGGCACCTATGTTTTAATTATTAAATTAATTATCCTGTTACTCATTTTATACAAATCCTATTCCGCCCAGTGCTAATGCAAACACAGCTTTGTGGCCTGTTCGTTTTCAAGTTTTAAAAAATATTTTTTCGGTTTTGAAAATAGAAAAAATATAAAATTATTTGGATAGGGAGTTTTGATTTAATTTTAAAAAAAAAATTAACAAAAAAATAGAAACTACTTCAATTTTTTTTCATTTTAAAATACACTACATTTAATTATTAAAAATTACAGTTGTTTAATTATTTTTTATTACAAGTCACTACTATTAACTGTTTATAATCATCATTATCAGCTTATTTTTAATTATAAAATTGTTTTTAAATTAATAAAACCAAATAGATTTTAATTTTTTTTTGTTTTGAAAAATAATTTTAAAAATTATATTACAGAATATTTTTAAAAAATAAAAAATGGAACATAAATCAAATGGTTCTCCTTCTAATTCTAATTAGAAAATAAATCACGTAAAGAAAAATAATTTAAATAACATTGGGATACATGGAGAGTGTGTGTGTAATAGAGTTTGAATATTAAAATTGGTTTTGAGGTCAAAAAATATCTTGACGTTGACCACATAAGAAAAAGGATTTTTAATATTTTACAGTTAATCTGTTCGTGATGCCTGATGTGGTAATTAATGTTATTTGGTGGAAATGAGTAACAATATGATGTGCTTAGCACTTGTTGTCCGGAAAAGATTGGGTTGGTTTTAAATTATTTTTATTTTATTATTTTAAAAATTAATATTTTGTAAAATATGTTTTAAAAATAAAAAAATAATTAAAAATATATTTTTTTTCATTCTCCTTTATTCTTCAAAACAATAATCTCAGAATACTTGAAATTTATTTTTATTTTTTTGTTTTTTAAAAAAAATTATTTTTTTTGTTCTCTAAAACATATTTTAAAAACAGTACCAAATAAATTTTTTTATTCTTTTATTCCGAATAATAGAAAACTGTTTTCAAAATAAGTTGTCAAATAAGCCCATTGCCTCTTGATTTTACCCTTCACATGGGCCCCAAATATTTATTATTCGAGGCTAGTGTGTTCCATTACCAATATTATTAATTAAGATATGTCATTTAATAATTTTTATGAGTTTTTTTTTTGTCTTCATTTACCTCTCTTTACAATACTCAACTCTATTTGTTTCGCTTTCTTTATCATACATATTCAAATTATTTTAAATAATTTTCTATTATCTTCATTTTAATAAATGTCATGTTTACTTTGTTTTCCATATACTTAGTACAAATTTTATCTTTTTCAAGTATGTCCATGCATCCACCTTAACCTTCACATCTATTTTTCCAACTTTATGCTTTGTCCTTTTAAAGCCTTATTATCATATAATATGGTTGCTTTTATGATAGTTTGATAAAACTTTCTTTAAATTTATCCAATACCTTCCTATCTCAAATAACTCTTTTAGCATTTTTTTTATATTTAAACTACTTGCTTATATTATATATGCAACATTCCCATCAATTTTACCATTATTTTAAATAATCTCTTCCAGATATCTAAACTTTTATACTCATGATACAATCTGATCTCTTGATCTCGTCTTTGAATTATTGCTAATTAGTCTCTTATTAAAATTGTAATGCATATATTTGTCTTACTTTTATTCAATTACAAGCCTTTCAACTTTAAAATCCTTTTTTATAATTGGAGTTTGGAGTTATTTTTGCTCTTGACTCAATTATAAGAACAATGCCATTTGCAAAATGCATGCAATTGTGAATTTTTTTTGAACATGCTCGGTTAAAATATTTAAAACCATATCAAACAAACAAATATTTCAAGATGAGTTTGATATAAGCCAATTCTCATAAAAAAGTCATTTGTCTTACTATTAGGTGTTTTTATATTAGTTGTTATCTCTTTACATATATGATGTGTATGGTTTTGATATATTATTTCTTTTTCAAATCTTTCCATAATACTTTTTTTGACTCACTATCATGAGCTTTAAAAAAAAAAGTCAAAATACAATTAAAAACAAGCTTTTACATGCCTGGACTTCTAAATTTTTATCGCTGCTTATGGAATCACGACAAAAATCAATCGAATAAAGCATGGAAGACGATTGACGCCCATTTAACGAGTGATTGGTCATGGTCTCGTGGTAGAAAAAAGAGTTGAAGAATATTGAATTAGGAAGGCGTTTCACTATTTAACTCCAACCACAACATGTCATATCTCACTGTATCTATAGCCGTCGTTTTTAATCATCAGAGACACCATTTTTTTATATAAATAAAATCACTTATTTCAATAAATATTTATTATACATTTTTTAAATCATTTCTCATAATTTATACTAATAATAAAAAATTAATACATGCTTATATTGATTGATATAAGATATTTTAATTTAATTTTTTATTTTTAAATATAATTATTATAGTTAATCAACTTTTTTAAATTGTATAATATAATTTTTTTTATATATATAGAAACCGGGAGAGTATTTGATATCCATGACTATTAATGACACCCCACCACTCATTATAATGTGTGATTACCTCAAAATTCATTTAATGCCCTTAATCACCTCCCTCAATTAATGCAATAAAATTTTAAATCCCATTTAACAAGAAGGAATGATTTAATGTGCTTGTTTATGGGAACAATATATATATATATATATATAACAATATATATATATATATATATTTAATTTTATATATTTAAAATGCTTGTTTCTAATTATCATGTAGATATTTATATATTATTTAATCTCTTGATATTAATATTATTAACACATTAAAATCAATTTATTTTAATGTGATTAGATAAGATTATATTAATGGTGTGTTTGGATTAACGAGAATTTATATGTGAGTTCAAACCAAATCTCTCATTTGAATATACAAAAAAAATTATGAATATTGACCTAATTCAAATCTAAATTTATTTTAAATTATAATTCTTTTGTAATTTTAAATTTCTTTATACTAAAGTTATTTAAAATTATAATCATTTTAAATATTTTATCCTCTTCGATTGTCAACATTGAACTTCTATGACTCTTGTTACTTTTATTGTAATTTATCGATTAAAAAATAAAAAAAACTCATCATTTTTAATTTTTATTTTTTGTTTTGAATCTAAGATCATCTCTCTTTGTTGCTTAAATTTTTTTAAAAAATATCCAAACAAATGATTAAAATGTATGGATTTTAAATGTGAGATTTAAAATATAAGATTTTAAATCTAAAATTTAAATATAAATTTATCAATCCAAATACTATATGTAAGCCATTTTTTATGGGGAGAATAACAATTCAATTCCAAACAGGGGGGATTAATTATAATTAGCCCTCCAATAAAAATTTAAAATTAATGCAACTTTTAATCTGTCTAGTTTGTCATAGTTTTTAATTTGATCAATTAAGTTTAATTTCTTTCAATTTAGTTCTTCAAGCTTATTTTGATTATTAATTTTATCCTTAATATTTATAAAGGAGGTAGTGCTATTAAAATTTACTAACGTGAATAACAGCACATCGATGACGACAATGTACATTAATAAAAAGAAGTGTGATTGTTTAGTTTATGACAAAAAAATAGACTCTAAAAGTTAAGACAAGATACTAAAACATATTGTGGGAGATTATGCTGATATAAAATAAACTGATTTGAGGATTTATTTGTGACCATTTAATTATATATACATGTTAGGTTATTATTATACTTTACATATTATATTAACTTGATAGTCAATTTATGTTTTAAATCTTAAAAAATATAATTTAAGAAAATATTAAATATTAAATTGATAAAAATTAAATTTGAGAGACTAAATCGATAATTAAAATAAACTTAAAAAATTAAAAGTTTTATTATTCCAAAATAAAATTAATGATAGTTAAATTTTCCTTAATTTTTTTTAAAAATAAATTGTAAATATTGATATAAATAGTTGCAAAAAGAAATCCCAATTACAAACTAATAATTATGTTTAGAATTAAATATTTTATTGATAATCATAACTCCTAAATTTATAATTATTTAAATTGATGTCTAACAGCTTATTTTTCATGAATTTATGGAAGGGAAACCCATTTTGTTGGTGCCTATAGTTTCCCTCATTTTTTAATTTGGTACCTATAATTTTTTCCCATTTTTTACACCATGTTTTAGCCATTAAACCCATTGCCCCCTTTACATTTGGAAATAACTTGAGGGACTTACATAATTGTTAAGTCTAACAAAAGCACTCAAGTTTGAACTTTAAAGGTAGCATAATACGATTGGGGTTTTTCATTCAACAGAAATCTTCAACTCGATCTTTCATTTAACAGAAAGGAGAGGGTAATTAGGATCTTGGTTCACTAGAGAGAGCTCCAGATTTCCATTCCATATAAACTAATAAGGCAATTTGACTTCGTCTTCACGATTTGGGTTTGTTTTCATGATTTATGCTGTCTTTGCATTTCAAATTTATCTTCATGCGAGAGGTCGATCCCTTTCACCAAAAAGAGGTTCGTCTTTTCTCCATGGTGCTCAATAGCTTTGCAATTTAGGTTTTATTGGTTTTCCCATAGGTTTAATAGCTGCTTGAAATTTGACTTCAACTTCTATAGTGTTCTGCCACAAATAATCATTTAGATACCTTGACCTCAACTTCTATAATGTTATGAACTTGTGGGTTGACATAGTAATTTTGCTGCTTGTTCACTTGATATGTGCAATGCATACTTGATAATTGAAGCTTCCTTTTTACTGCTAACATCCTTGTTGTTGTTTTCTAAAATTGTTACCGCGTCTTTGGTATTGCTTCTTTTTCACTGCCAACATCCTTGCTATTGCATTCTGAAATTGTTATTGCATCCTTGGTTTTGCTTTCATTTCACAACCAGCATCCTTGTTTTTGCATCCTTAGTATTATAAAATTATTTAGAGGCTATGGTCGTACATTATTTTGAAATTATTGGATAATAATTGGTTTTGGGACTTGAATTAGTGTTATATGTTTTTTGTTTTCAGTGGTAAATTTTGCAAGAAGCTTGGAGTTGCAAATGAAACAAGAGATTATGTAGATGAAGAAAAAGAAATAGAATATAGAGCAACAAAATAAGAACTTATAGAGGAGGAGAAACAACATTTGAAAGAAGAAAAAGAGTACTTGAAATAGTAGAATGAGAGCATGAAGCAAGAGAAATAGAAATTGAAGAGAAAAGAAATTTGAAGAGCTTAAGATTGTTATGTTTATTATAGCTTTTTATTGTTATATTGAAAGTAGAATATGAAGTGGGTAGATAGACCATTGTTATTGTAATTTATGAAACCATTATAATAGAATAAAGATGAGCGTTGTTACTACTCTCTTTTGTCATTTTTGCTGTTTTCTTTTTTCTGTTGCTATTGCTTTAATTCCTCCTCTGTCTATGTTGGAGTCACGGGACCAATTCTATGAACATGTAAAGACCATATTGTGTTTCTTCATGAAACTATATTGCTACTGTCATATATAATTTCAAAAGCTGTCCAATTCATTTTCTTTTCTTGTCACGAGTATATGAAGCCTAAAAACACTAGCATCTTGAACTGAAATTGCTATGACTATATAAAGTAGCAATCACACCATCCCATATACTCCTTCCATCCTAAATTATAGGATATCTTTAAAAGAGTTTTTTCGTCCAAAATATAAGAGCCTTGAATAATTAAGATTTCATTAAATGTATTAATTTTAATATTATCCTCTCTCTTTTTATAATTAATTTTTGCCCCTTCTCTTTTCATTATATTAAATGGCAAGCATTTTTAAAGTTTATATTTTTTGTTTTGAAAAGATAAGATTATTAAATGTATTTAATAAGGTTTATTAGTATGTAAAATTTTGTCTAAAAGTGTTTTATAATTTAGAATGAAGGGAGTATATAACAATGTCAACTACCTACAAGAGCTGTTGCAAGTGAGTTTTCAGACTCTTTGGAAATAAAATGCTGTCACAATATAAAATGCCGTCACACCATCTACATGCATTATTGTATGAAATTATCCTTTTAACTTAACATTAGAAGGGGTTTGTGTGTGCCATGGGCCTCAACTTTAATGTAACAAATCTTTAATATCATTTAATGAGAAAAAACATTATCCTTGTTAATAAAAGCGAGTTTTGTAATGCAGACGTGGCTATATCCTCAACTCTCTGCCTATAATATTTTGCAAGCGTCACAAGCAAAAAAGTAAGTTTGAAGAAATTTTCCTAAAAACTTACAAACTTAAATCTCCAACTATAGTCTGGTGCAAGCTTCCTTTTGCCTGTAATCATTTTTTATTTGCTAATTAAATGGCTTGCATGACAAAGCGTGCGCACACAAACACTTGTATATAGTGCTTATGAATATGTTTTCCATCCAGCTCAATGAGTGGTGATAAATGTATAAACTCATAAATAAAACAAAACAAAAATGCATATATATATATATATATATATATAGAAGAATGCAAAACAAACACACAGAAGGGAAAAAAACAAATAGCTCCATTTGGCTTAATGAAGTCATATATGCACATATAGAAGATGATAACGCACACACCCATGCGGTGGAGATTATAACGGCAACACTAACAGCATTTACACCTTGTTTCAAATCTTTGAGTTGAATGTGAAGACAATGTTACTGTTCAAAGTCATTGCTTGAAGACCTAAACTATTGGTGCCATCTTCATGGTTTTGCCAAGAATAGAAAACATAATCTTCAACATTACTCGTGAGTTTTCAATTTCTCCCACAAAGTTTTAGAATTAATGGTGTCCCTTTCCTCCATAAGTCGCTCAAGCTATTTCCAAAAATAGAGGGGATAACGTGTTTAATGGTTGAGAGATTAACAATGGGAAAAAAAAAAAACTATAGGTGCCAAAATTAAAAATGAGGAAAAATGTAGGTACCAATAAAATGGTTTTCCCTTTCATTTTTTTCAGGACTTTAACCACCATTCTTCCTTATTTTTCAACCCCTTTTCACGCGAAGTACTGTAGTAATATATATAGTCTTAATTATAAGATCAAATTAACTAATATATAGATTCAGCTTTTCTAAGGAGGTATGGTTGTTGGTTGACACTTGAAAAATGTATGACTTCTCAATTTTGTCCTTTATCGAGATTAATAAACACGATAGAGCGCCACGCAAAAATTAAAAGCATGCCAATCACTTATTGCAATTAAGGAGGGGCAAGGCTAGAAAACAGAGTAGCCACCAACATCTGTACAGTGATTTTATTGTTGACACACTATTGGCAAAAGTATGTTTTTGGTGTTTTAACTTTATAGGCAATTTCATTTTGGTGCTTTATTTTTATAATATTTTTAGTAGTCTTGTCCCAATTTCACTAGTTCCATTAAAAAAAATGTTGAGAATATTTTCAGAGTCTGGCGTGTTAATTTGTTTTTTAAGTTAACAATTATTAATACAAAAAAATATCACTTAAGGCTAAGTCGTAAGGATTATAAAACTAAAATATGATTTATAAAATTAAGAGACTGAAGTATGAAGCTGCATGCACATAATATTTTAAATTGTATTTTTTTATAATTTCTTTAAAAGCACTGTTTTTAGTGTATTTGAATATTTAATCTCTATCTTCGATCATCCCATCCAACTCAAATTCAATCTTATCCCATATTATTTCAACCATATCATTTGAGCTAGTGTTTCTAATCTTTCTTGCATGTTTTTAAAACTATCTTTACTTATGATCTAGATGAATTCCTCTCTAGACATTTTCTCACTTTCTCACTCTTTTTAACATCCATTCAAATTATGATTTTTTATATAAAAATAAAAATAATAAACATTATATTCTCATACATTTTTATATCCAATGTTTATTTTAAGAAGTGCATATTTTTATTATATTGATGATGTCATTACAAGGTACAAATAATATAAAAAATAATTTTAATTGTATATAATTAAAATGTTTGTATGGAAAATAAATGCTCGAGCATATCAATAAATTAGATAATTAAATATTAAATGTAATTTTCATTAAATGAATTTATTTTAATTATAAATTTAATAAATAAATATGATTAAGAAATACAGAGAGAAAACGATGATAAAAAAAAAAAAAAAAAATCGAGAGGCTACCTCCCAAACCAGAAGCGGGACTAGCAATCCAGATGTTTCTCGGTGATGAATGGGTCCCGCTGCTTCCGCTGCTAATTCTGCTATCACTGCCCTTCGATTAAACGACTCGAATCTATCCAACGGTCATCTTTGACATGGTTGACAACAGCTCTCATTTTCCCTTGTTTTTTCCACTTCACTCACCAGCACCCTTATCCCTCCCTGCCCCCGAGCCCTTATCCCTCCCTCCCCCGGAGCTCTCGGCGATGGCGACTGCCCTCAGAAATCCCACCTTCCGGCCGCCTCTCCCCACTTTGTCTTCCACTTCTCATAAACCCTTATGCGTGTCTTTGAGACACCCCAGTAGTTTCAGACCTTTTTCTCTAGCCTCTCTGCAGTCGGGGAATATAGCATCGCCACGGGTAGTAAAGTTTGTGCCCTTCGCTTTCGATGGGGAAGCCGAGACCGCCGAGGCTCAGGAAATTCATGGACCAGAAGTCCTAGTGAGTCCTTATGTGTATTCTTTTTTATTGATTGCCATTATTAATCTTAACCAATGTAATTTTGTTTTCAAGAGATGCCAAACTAATTACATTTTAAAAACGACCCCTGATATATATTTTTTTTTTCGGATTTTATGGCTGCCAAGCATTTAGGGGGAGGGTGCATGTAGTTTTGGAGATGTAATGGCCGCTAGATTATATCAGTGTTTTTTATTCTGTCTATTTAATTTCTGAAGAATGAATAATTCAGTTTTCCATAAGGATAGCGGGGGGAAAAGGGTGAGTGTTATGTCTGAATGCTGAAGTGCAGACAATTTCGAGTTCCGATTACGTTGAACATTCACATAGAGGAAGATGAGTATCGATTTACTAAAGATTTCAAGGCTTTGAAACATGGATGGGAGATGCTGGTGTAAAATGAGAGAAGAAAAAGAAAAGTGCAATATGGTACCTGGCCAAAGAATAAAACTAACAAAGGCCAAAATTGTGCTGTTAATACAGAACATTTAAGTGTTTAACCAGTCTATTGAGTTAGGGAAATTCACTCCTTCATTAAAGAGTTAAGGGCCTCTAGATTTCTGGTGCATTGATTGTGGAACTGGATAGGTGGTGATGATATGTTGCAATTTTCTGGGTCGATTTGGATGACTTGCTAAAGTGTTGATTTCTGCCATGAGAAAAATGACGGATGAATTGCACTAACTGAAACCACAGGAGGCACTGCCCATCGGTTGTAATAATAGTATTAAATAAATTACTTTTCACAAGCAGGCATAATGACTAATAGTAACAAGTAAGAACAATATTAAAGATTGTTGGATAGGTCTTCAGTTATTTGACGAACTATTTGCATGGTAAAGGTGCAAATTTAGCCATGAATTATTTTTCAAGAAGTGCTGGGTAGCTTCTACTATAAAAAAAGGGCCAACCAACACCTTCCCCTCAATTTTGACCAAACACTGTTTATTTTCATACTTATAAAGCCCACAAAGTATTAATCTCTTCAATCTTCTTGCCTTCATTCTGAATATAAGCTTCAGAAGAAGAGTTCATTGAATTCTTATCTGAAGACATTCACAAGGACGATGCGAATGAAGTAAAAGCTTGATTTTACTTTGTATGAGAAAAACTTGATTTTATCTTAATTTAATCATGAATTATTTCTTCTACTTTGTTAATGTCGTCTTCATGAATATCTTTAGATATGAACTCTTTGAACCTTTTCTTCTCGAGTTAAAATTGAGAATGAAGGTAAGAAGATGTAGAGATTAATACTTTATGAGTCTCATAAGTATGAAAATAAATAGTGTTTGGTCAAAATTGAGGAGAAGGTGTTGGATGGTCCGTTTTTATAATAAAGGCTACCAACACTCCTCGAAAAATAATTTGTGGCTAAATTTGCATCTTTACTATACTGACATGTCATGCCACGTTTCATTGCGGGCCCTACATAACGTCCGTTAGCTAAAGTTAACGGAGGGCTACTGGATGTTTCATTTTTGAAAGTTCGTGATTTATTTTGCACCATCTGATAGTTTAGGCCACCAGATGCTCCTGAAAAAATAGTTTGTGGCTAAATTTGCACCTTTACTCATTTTTTTTTCAAAACAAAAATATAAATTTTTAAAAATGTCTTTCATTTAATACTCCATTTTTAAAAGAATATTAAAGAGAGAGAGAGAGAGAGAGAATATAATGATAATGGTAATATTGGAAAAGCATCTCAAAGTATTTTATATTTTGGGGTGCCAAATTTCTCCTAAAAGTGTCTAATAATTTGGAATGGAAGTAGTATCACATTGGAAATAAATGACTTTTGTCTGCAACGATTTGAGTGAAAAGTGGAATTTTTTTGGGTGTTCTATAGAAGAGCAGAAATCTTTAGTTCTTTTTACCAGTGAAGTGCAGAAAACCATAAAATAGAAGTAGTAGTACATATGCACTTATGGCATATCATTTTTTTTTTAAATAATCTTATGGCATATCATGTTCGTTGGAGTAATTCTTCCATAAATTTATTGTGGTTTGCCATGTCTCCATTCTCCTTAAAGGGTTTTTTGAATAATAAATATGTATATTTTTTGTATCACCATTATTGTCTGTGGTGCATACTCCCTCCATTTCTATATATGAGATAAAAAAAACTGTGTCACACAGTTTAAGTTAGTTAACCATGATAATTATGTTTGAAAATAAAAAAACTGGACTAACATACTCTATGTTAATCAATATAAGCATGTATTAATTATTTTTCGTTAATGTAAACTATGAAGGGCGATTTAAAAAATGTGTAATAAATACATATTGAAATATGTGATTTTGCTTATATAAAAAAATAAATAAAAATTGATAGTTTCTCTTACAAATAGAAATGGAAGGAGTATCTCGTTAGGGGTAACTTTATATTATTAAAAAACTAGTCATTTTTTTTGGTGCCACTTCTTTCTATGCAATCATATCTTGAGCTGTATATTATTCAATTCTTTGGATTTTTGTTGTTCTTTTCTTTTGTCCTCCCCCCCCCCCCAAAAAAAAAGTTTTAGCGTCTCTCTGCCCTCTCTGAACATGAATTCTTGTTGAATGAGTCTCTTTGATTGAGGCTCAGAATGTTGAATATCCCTGATAGAAGCATCCAAAAATTTGAATTCCTGTTCCTCTCTCAGTTTGCGGGCAGTCTGATATGTTCATGTAACAGGATTCCTCAGATGGTGTTGTTGGTGCAGAGGACAATACAGGTGACAGTGAAGTTATTGATGCTGAGGAAACACCGGTGTCACCCCTCCTAACGTTATTTCAGTCTTATAAAGAAGCAGTAGCTGAGAATGATGAAACCAAAATTACTGAGTTGGAGTCATTGTTGAAATCCATTGAAGATGAGAACAATGGTCTTGAAAGAAAAGTTACTTCTTTGTCTCAAGAGCTGTCAATAGAAAAAGACCGGATCCTGAGAATTAGTGCTGACTTTGACAATTTCCGCAAGAGAACTGAAAGAGAACGCCTTTCACTGGTTACAAATGCTGAAGGGGAAGTTGTGGAAAGTTTATTGCCTGTACTGGATAATTTTGAGAGAGCAAAAACTCAGATCAAGGTGGAGACAGAGGGAGAGGAAAAGATAAATAACAGCTACCAAAACATATATAAACAGTTCATTGAAATCCTAACCTCGCTTGGGGTTGAACCAGTGGAGACAGTTGGAAAACCCTTTGATCCTTTGGTGAGTTTATTCAACCCTTCTAGCTTATACTGGTAACTGAACTGGAAGACGTATTTGACTTTGAACAAAAAATGTTTTCAACGGTGATAATTATCTGGCCTCACCACCTTTAATCATCTCTTCTTTTGGTAGATCAGGCCAAGTATTTGTTAACGCTTCATAGTGCACTATAACCAAGTATATCACATGGTCTAAATAAAACAATGTCCCTATTGTTGTAGAGCAGCCTGTTCAACAACATGATGATGATATATTTGTTGCATTTCTTGATTTTATCTAGCTAGAGTTGTTTGACTACATTAAATTTACCCCTATCTGCTTGGTTTATACTGCAATGCAATCAGTCCTCCACAAGTTATTTCTGAGCATGTTCCTTTTCTGCGTGCCAAAGTTTTTAGATATTAGATAATATAAAGATTTCCACCTTTTTCTTTCTCTGTTTTTTTGTGGGACGTAATGCTGTCATCTATGTTGAACTTTTTCAAACACTCTGAACTTTATTCAGATTTCCTGAATACCTGGACATGCATTAAATTCAAAGTAGTTCTTGAGTGATTCAAGCAACATGATGAGTTTTTAATTAAACAAAAAAATCCGCAATTATATGTGTGGAGAATTCAACGTGCATTCTTGGCTACAAAGAACTACTTTCAGTCCTTTGCTTGTCAGATGATTTTACCTGGAAACTAAATGAAATCCCAGCAAGCTGGTAGTTTTACAAGTTAATTAGATATGTCAAGACTTGAGCAATTTGTTGATAAACTATGGTTTGCACTTCTGAAAGCTGCACGAAGCAATTATGCGTGAAGATTCCGCTGAATTTGAGGAGGACATCATAATTGAAGAATTCAGGAAGGGTTTCAAACTTGGGGAAAGACTCTTGCGTCCGTCAATGGTGAAGGTATCAGCTGGTCCTGGACCTGCGAAGCGTGAGGGGGATGAACCACAAGAACAAGATACAAGTGAAATGCCTGAGAGTAGTCAAGAAAATGAGGGCAGTGCAGAATCGGAGTCTGTTTGAAAGATCAAATTTTGTGCCTGGGTTCGGTTTTCTAGAAGTAGCAGTAAGTTCAATAACCAGAAACATAATATTGGGTGTAAAAGTTGCTGAAGAAACATTGAAGCGTAGCTCTTGCGAAAAAAAAAAAGAAGATACTGTTTTTAAGATTTTGATTTGTTATTACAGTTTTGCTTGCCCTCACGTATGGCTTCAATGCTTCATAGAGTTGAGTTATTTCTCATGAATGCTTTGTTCCAGGAATTTACTATTCTTTGCTTGATAAAGAAATTGCTTTTGGTTAGGGGGCATTTTGAATGTTTCACAGTATCAACGAACGCAATTTAGTGTGGAGATTGAGGTTGGTTTGTCTTGCTGTTGGTTTGGGGTGAAATTACTCATATTGGCGTTTGGTATCAATGTTGTCCACTTTTTACTTTGTAGGAGAGGCTATGGTATCTAACTTTAGGGGTGCGTGTTATGTCAAGCCTTTGAAAATTCGATTGTTGAGAAGGTTTTGAGAAGGTTGTAGTATCAGCGTACCTTGTCTTGAGTAAGTTGGATTCAAGATGGTCTCATTTTGTGCCTCGTCAAGAAAACCTGGGGTTAAATTTTGAGAAGGGGGAGGGCAAATAATGTTCGCATTAGCTCTCTAGGATGTAATGGTAATGTTAGTCTTCAAGAAATCTGTGGAAGATGGACGACTCTTTAGGACGCCCATGCTATTTGTTTCAGAAACACATGCTTAAAAGCATGTTTGCTCTTTTTGAGTAATGATATCCCCATTTTCAAAAAATAAAAATAAAAAAAGATTATCTTTACATACCAAAAAGGACATAATCTTTATGTACCAAAAGATTACATCATCTTTGTTTGCGCCAAAACCATGTGCAAAGAGACTATCAAGTACTAATTTTGTTAACTGGCATTGAAATCTACGTTGGGGTTTATGTTGCATCTGAATTCCGGAGTTAAAGATGAGGGAATCGTGGTACGCATGGTTCGGTTTTGTATAAATTTTACTCCTTGTCTCCTTCTAATCCCATATCTAAATAACTTTTGATTATCTATTTGTGATTTTGATGAGATAATAAAAAATGACTCCTTGTATGTATGATGGAAGTAGTTATAGATTTTTTTTTTTTGGCTCAGTCTTAATTACTGTAATGGAGTGGGGCGAGGGGTGCTTATTATTGCAATGAGATATGAACTATTTAAAATTAATTTAAATTATTTAAATTTAAAATTTTTAACCTATAAATTTTCATATGGAATTTTCTTTTTCAGTGTGACATTTATAGTATTATTTTTATTTTAAATTATGTGCTTATTAAAATATTGTTTATTAAAATATAAAAATAAAATTTTATCAAATCTAGACCGTTTACATCAAATCTAGACACACTATCAAAACGAAATTGGATTCGTGGGGGAAAGGGTTAAGGCAGCAAAGCACCTAAACACGTGTGAAATATGATGTATTTTCCCACGTAAAAAAAAAAAAACAATATTATCCACAGCCACGTATAAATCTTAGATAACGGGCTTCCCAACATCGACATAAACACACATAATTCTTAAGATGTTCATACTTTAGAAAGAGAATCCAAGTAATATTATACAAAAGTTGAACAATATTGTAAAAAACCGTGGGTTCTTCTATTATTGTGGAATGATGTGAAATGATACCTATCAATACTTGGAATTAACTTTACAATACAAGGGAGGGGTAAAAATTATCTTCCTCTAGTTTGGTATGGAGGATAAAAGAATGTATAAAGTAGCTTCTTACGTTTTCAGATCGTATGACGAGGACAATTAATTCTGTGACTGTATCTTCTCACGGCCGACTACACACTTACCGTACAAGTAGCGTTATGGGATTTTCCTTTTTTTTTTTTCAAGGATATGATTATAGAGGCATTAGGTAATTGGCATATTGTAATTTTGATCTTGCTATGATATAAATTTTATATTATTTATATATTTTTTTGTCTTTTGACCTAATTTTAAAGCCTGACTTTTATTTGGAGAGCTTAGAGTCAGGCCCTTAAACTTTCTTTTCCAAAAAAAAAATTAATATTTTAATTTAAATAGAATATTCTAAAATTTAATATAAAATAAATTAAAGTCTCACATAAAATTTAACATAAAATTTGAAAAAGATTTTAAATTTTAAATTTAAGATGAAGATTGAAACTTTCATCAATACAAATCTAAGTCCTCCTCATCATTATCTAAAAGTAAAATATTAAATTTTTTAGATGCAGATTCACTTGTTGAAGATAGAGGTGGAAATTTAATGTCAATTATCTTTGCAGCTTCCTCTTCATCACTTACAATAAATATTAACTAAATTGCATCATTATTAATAAAATATATGTATGTATGTGCATACATATATAAGATAATTTGGCTTATCAGAGTTTAAAGGGTCATCCGGGCCTGAGTTTTTTTTACAGGGCTTATCAGGCTTAAGCCATCAAGTCCGGTTACTTTAAAAAAATTAATTTTTAAAGTCTAAATTTTTATTTAAATAAAGTCTTCAGGTTCAGCTCTTTAAGCTCATCCTTTATTTTCGGCTGTACATGTGGCTTCGATGCTTCATAAAATTGAGTTATTTCCCATGAACGCTTTGTTCCAGGAATTTACCATTCTTTGCTTGATGAAGAAATTGTTTCCTCGAATTTTGTATTCCCAAGACATTTGGCTAGAGGCATTTTGACTGTATCATAGTATCATTCGGAATGAAATATGAATGAGCTTTAAGGCATTGGCAGCTATGCGGAACGCAATTTCAAGTGGCCTACTTGGTCCTTAATTCACGGCAAAGTGAGGAGATTGAAGTTGGTTTGTCTCTCACTGTTGGTTTGGGGTGAAATTGCTCGCATTAGCTACTCTTAGACGTAATGATAATCTTGGCTTTCAAGAAATCAATGGAAGATGGACAACTTTTCATGACACCCATGTTATTTGTTTCAGAAACACATGCTTAAAAGCATGTTTGCTCTTTTTGAGTAATGACATCCCCATTTTGGAGAAAAAAAAAAATCATTTTTATGTACCAAAAGAAACATCATTTTTGTTTGGGCCCAAACCATGTGCAAAGAGACTCAAGTACACTCTGTTAACTGGGATTCAGAATCGACGTCTTCTCAGTTCTCACTTTTTGATGGCCACATTTGCGCCCAAAATAAAAAGCCAAGCTTGCTCCTTTACGCCATGCCACGTTTAGCTTGCGACAAAATTTCCTGCACAATTTTGGCATTAAAATCTACATTGATCTATGTTGCATCTGAATTCCTGGGTTAACGATGAGGGAATCGTGTTATGCATGGCATGGTTTTGTATAAATTTTACTCTTTCTAATCTTATATTTAAATAACTTTTGGTTATCTCTTATTGATTTTGATAAGATAATAAAAAATGACTCCTTGTATGCATGATGGAAGGAGTACTTGCTGAATTTTTTTTCTTTTATTTTCTTTTTGTGCTTAGTCTTAATTATTGTAATGAAGTGGGGCGAGAGATTGCCTATTACTATAATGTGATCCGGACTATTTAAAATCAATTTTGATTATTTAAATTTTAAATTTTTAACCTATAAATTTTCATATGGAAAATATTTTTTGTCAGTGTGACATTTATAATATTATATTTATAATAAATTATGTACTTGTTAAAATAATTGTTTATTAAAATATAAAAATAAAATTTTATCAAATCTAGAACGTCTACATCAAATCAAGACACACACTATCAACACTAAATTGGATTCGTGGGGGAAATGGCTGAGGCAGCAAAGCACCTAAACACGTGTGAAATTTGTTGTATTTTTCCACGTAAAAAAAACAATATTATCCACAGCCACGTATAAATCTTAGGCGACGGGCTTCCCAACATCGAGATAAACACGCATAAAGCTTAAGATGTTCATACTTTAGGGAGAGAATCCAAGTAAATTATACAAAAGTTAAACAATGTTGAAAAAAACCATGGGGGCTTCTATTATTGTGGAACGATGTGAAACGATACCTATCAACACTTGGAATTATAGTAACATGTAATTTGATAACTTGAATGTCATATAGGACAAGGGTGCCTAAACTTCAAAATCAGCCCATTAAATCTCACATGGTAAGAGGGACGACTTGTCAAGGGAATGGTAACGGGAAAGTGAAAGGCAAAGTCGCAGAGAAAGATAAAGGAACACCTAAATTATATTTGGTTCTTATATAATACAAGGGAGGGGTAAAAATTAACTTTCTCTAGTTTGGTATGTAGGATAAAAGAATGCAGAAAGTAGCTTCTTGCGTTTTCAGATCGTATGACGAGGACAATTAATTCCCTAACCGTATCTTCTGACGGCCAACCACACACTTACCGTACAAGTAGCATAATAGGATTTTCATTTTTTTTTCAGGGATATGATTATAGAGGTATTGTGTAATTGGCATATTGTAATTTTGATCTTGCTATAATATAAACTTTACATTATTTATATATATATATTTTATCATATACAAATAATATAAAAGACGCGTGTAAGGTCCAGGTGTAAAATATTTATCAAGAATTAAAAAATAGGAAAAAAATAAAAACATAATACTAAATGAAAGTTGAAAGGCAAGCAGGTCTCCTTGATCTTTTTCTTCTTTTCAAATTAGAACGAGCACAAAATCCTATACAAGATATAAAGAAATTTAGATTATATGAAAGAGATCTAATTTTCACATCATCATCCATCACCTCTTGATAAAAATGTGGTTAATCAAAAGCACAAAATCTCCTTGCAAGATCTAAAGCATTTTGAGCTAGACATTGAATATAAAAATTTGCTTCCCTAACTGTAAAATTCAAAGATACTTTGCTCACTTTGCTTAAAAAAAAAAAAAAAAAAGATACTTTGCTCGCCCTTTCACCGAAACAAACGCAGCCTAAGGTTCCCGCTTGTGTAGGGCACTTGGAGACGTGGGCCAATTCAAGCCATGTGGATTGGCATTCGAATGGGACAGTTCATTTTAATTCATTTGCTTTATGCTCTTCCTCTTCATTTTAATCCTGAAAAAAGTGGGAACAAATTTCTGCCAACTATGCTCTAGCAATACAAAGCAAAGCTTGTAACAATACATTCTCTTCATCTTAAATTATAAAATAATTTTAATTAAAATCTCATATATAAAAATATAAATAAAATTCATTAAATACACTCTATAACTTTACTTTCTTAAAATAAAAATATAAATTTTTTAAAATATCTTTTATTAATATTTCATTAATGAAAAAATATTAAAAAAGAATATATAAAAAAGATAATATTAAAAAATTTTATTAATAAAATTTTATTTTTATCTAAGTGTTTGATATATTGAAACGTTAATTTTTTAAAAAATATTTTTTATAATTTAAAATGGGGTGAATATAATATTATCTTCAACTATGAGATTGAAAGAGTAGCATACAACCAAGTAAAAAGTTGTGTAATTTATCAAAAAAATTGTGATTATAATTACTTTGTTTCTTATGATATTGATAGCTGCAACTTTCAAATAATCTGTGGTTGCTGAATGAAAACGTGTCTAAATACTGTGAAAGGCGGGGTGCGTGGTTGGCGAATTAATGACTTCATGGGGCGGGAGTCAGGACACATACATCATCCAATCGCCACCAAACTTTGTACTAATTTTTCTGCCCATTTAAATTAAATGCACGCAAAGCTTACTGCACGAGCTAAACAAGGACCCAGCTGCGTAGTTATAGCTAAGGTTTTAAAAACAGAACCCATCAATTCAATCGATTGAATCAAAAATCAACTACTGGTCCAGGCTAGTATGACCTTAAAACCGATCAATAAACAAACCGGTCAAAAGATCGACAAAAGTCATAAAACCAATCAACATCTGAAAAAATCTTTGGTCAAAAAAAAAAAAACATCTGAAAAAATCTAAGAAACCGAACTGGTTCAACATGAAAAACCGATCAAAAAGATAAAAAATAAAAATAATAAAAAAAAAGACTACAATCGAGATCCAAATTTTTAAAACTTAGGGTTAGAAATTGTAAATTTCCAACTCCTTATATGCGGGCCTAGCTCCGGCTTTTATTGATTCTAGCTCACCTTGCGCGATGAAGAGTGATAGTAGTCCAACCTTCCCAATTGATATGCCAAGCTCTCCGCTCAGTGCTTTTGAGCTGACGATGTGGGACTTTTACCAAGGACCCAGCAGTAGACGAGCTTCGCATCCTTTGTTTTTCCAGCGATCTTCACTAATTTTTTTGCCTTAACTCTTAAACCTTTTTATAAATAAATAATCACATCTATTTAACATACTTAATGTTAAGAATTTATTTATTTATTTATTTCAGGTTTAATCTATCCGTTCATTTCATAAAGATGGATTCATGAATATTACACATATTGAGAATGATTTTAATAACTTATAACTTATTTATTATTAGATTCTATGCTAAACTGAATAGAGGAAAAGTTATTATTCATTATTTTCCTTTTAGCTATTTATTGTTATGCTTGATGCTTTTGAATGTAATATACTATTTTCTAAAAAAATTCTTATATCATATTATTCTAATACATACAATTAAAAATACATTAATTATTAATTAATTTAATAGTAATCGGTTTGACTAATGAATCATGAACCAGTATCTCAATCGATTTAATATCCAATTCAATTTTTAAAACCTTGATTATAGTTTTCATGAGGACAATGATAGTTATTCTCTTGTTCTCACTTCCAGAGCTCGACTTTTAAGTTTGATTTTTCCTTTTCACTCTTTTTTTAAAACCTGGCCTTTATTTAAAGAGTTTAGGATCGAGCACTTGAGCTCTATTTTAAAAAAATAAAAAAAATAAAAATAAAACTAAACACTATAAATTAATTAAAATATTCTAAAATTTTAAAAAAAGTCAAAATACTCATAATTTTTAAAAATTAAACAACACACAATTAAAGTTTTGATAATAAAATTCAAATTTTGATTAAAATACAGTTTATTTTTTATAAGTGCACAAACATAATAATTATATAAAAGTAAAAAATATTATAAATTTTATATTGTACACTAATATTTATTAAATTATATTAAATTAATTTTAAAATAAATTAAAATTAATAATAATATAATACTTGTAAGATTAATATTTCAGACGAGTAAATTCTTTTTAATTTTAAACTCATGTTTCATAAAAATAAATAATATAATAAAGTTTAAAAGGTTACCTCAGTTTAAATTTTTTTTATAAAGTTTATTAAAATTATATTTTTAAATTTAATTATTCTTAAAAAATTTAATTTTTAAAACTTAAATTCTTATTTAAATATAACCTTATTCTCGACTCTAAGTTTGTCTGGTCCTCGACCAAAGAGCTGGCCTCTGATAAAGGCACGCCGTGGCGTTTATTCCCCTGTTTCTTTTGCGTCTCCGTCACTGCTACTCGCTCTGCACACCTCTCGTTACCCTCCCTCGTCTTCCTTCCGGTAAGTAGCTTCTCTTCTTTTCCTTCTCTTCATCCCTCCGTTGAATACGCATTCCACATGCACGCGCACACTCATGTCCACACTGTCTTCTCTGTTATAACTATTCTCTATAGCGCTTTAGAGCTGGGGCAGAAATTCCCCCCTGCATAAAGTTAAGACGCAGCATATCAGCGACAGGATGTGTGTGCGGTTTTTGTAAAACGTACACTTGTTTTGATTGTCTCCATCCTTCATATATGCTTGTGATCTCAGTATGGTTACACGGAAACTTAGGGCGGCTAAATTTTTCAAATGGCTAGGCTCTTGGCCGAAGAGGCCTCGGCCGGATTTTGACCCTTTGCTTTTAGAGCATACTGAATATTACCTGTCAATTTTAAATTGGGAATCTCAACGTGAGTTATGAAATTACCCTTAAAAATCCAAATGGTTTCGTCTTCTCGCGGCTTTTTTAGCTGATGAACGAACTGCTTAATGTGCATCTCTTTAAGAGTGGTGCTAATGGGAGACGAGTTGAAGGAGAGGCTCTTGCAGAGGCAAGGAGATAGAGAGGAAGAAGAGACACTTGGGAAAAAGGTGTATAATGAAAGCAAGAAAATGTGGGTGGTGGCAGGGCCTGCCATATTCACCAGATTCTCCACCTTTGGCATACAAGTAGTCAGCCAAGCCTTCATTGGCCATATTGGCTCCATTGAACTTGCTGCCTACGCCATTGTCATGACTGTCCTCATCAGGTTCGCAAACGGTGTATTGGTAAGTACCCTTCTCTCCCTTTTCTTTTCTTCAGAATCTAATTTAGATTTGCTTATCATGCATGCGGTTATGGAGTCTGCTAGTTATACCACTTGGTACTTTTGAGTTGAAATTTATGTTGAGATCAAAATTTTAGAATCAGAACTATTGTTGATGCAGCTGGGGATGGCAAGTGCGTTGGAGACTCTGTGTGGGCAAGCATATGGAGCTAAACAGTATGAGATGCTAGGAATATATCTTCAAAGATCGTGGATAGTGTTGTTCTTGACCTCACTCATCATGCTTCCCATTTTCATCTTCACCGCCCCAATTCTGGAGTTTTTAGGTCAAGATAAAAGTATTGCGGAGGTAGCAGGGAGCATTTCTCTGTGGGCAATAGGTGTGATATTTGCTTTCATCGTGTCATTCACCTGCCAGATGTTCCTGCAAGCGCAGAGCAAGAACATGATCATCGCCTACCTTGCAGCATTCTCAATTGGAATTCACATTTTTCTGTCATGGCTTTTGACTGTTAAGTATAAGTTAGGACTCAATGGGGCAATGATATCAACCCTTCTGGCATATTGGATTCCCAACATAGGTCAGCTCATGTTTGTCGTGCTCAAATGCCCTGATACATGGAAGGGCTTCTCATTTTTGGCTTTCAAAGATCTCTGGCCTATAATCAAGCTTTCCCTTTCTTCTGGAGCAATGTTGTGGTAAAGACACTTGTATTTTTTACACCATCAATCTTTAAGATAATGCAGAGCCAATGAACTGCTGATTAACTGATGACTAGCATTGAGTTACTTATGATTGTTTATTTGTTTTACAGTCTTGAGTTATGGTAACTACTAATTAACTGATGACTAGCATTGAGTTACTTATGATTGTTTATTTGTTTTACAGTCTTGAGTTATGGTACAACACAATTTTGGTACTTCTAACTGGGAACTTGAAAAATGCCAAGGTCGCCATTGATGCTCTGTCCATTTGGTAATCAAACTCTACTGGTAGTTTTCCTTCTTAATTCCAATGTTTGATTGCTCTGTAAAACTAACACCATTCTTTTGCAGCCTCAACATCAATGGATGGGAAATGATGATCGCGCTTGGATTCTTCGCTGCTGCCAGGTACTTCATTGACAATTATAAAAAGGTTGAAGTATTCTAATCAGCTTAAGAAATCATATATAAAAGAGACTGAATGTTGATTGATTTGCAGTGTGCGAGTGTCAAATGAGCTAGGTAGAGGGAGTTCAAGGGATGCAAAATTTGCCATAGTGGTGACAGTGATAACATCTTTGGAATAGGGTTCATTCTATTCTTAGCGTTCCTGTTCTTGAGGGAGAGACTTGCTTACATATTCACTCCAAACCCTGAGGTGGCTGCTGCAGTTGGGGACTTGTCACCTTTGCTCGCTTTCTCCATGTTGTTGAACAGCATCCAACCTGTTCTCTCTGGTAATATCTTCATCCTTCCCATTCAGTTGCATATGAAGAAGTGGGGTTTATCACTTTTCTATACCTTTCTTTTCTTGTTGGTTAAAAGGAGTTTCTATTGGAGCTGGTTGGCAAAGCATTGTAGCATATGTAAACATAGGCTGTTATTATCTGATCGGGATCCCTGTTGGAGTTCTGCTCGGTAAAATCATCCATCTGCAAGTGAAGGTAAGCTATCATTTGATGATACGATATACTTTGTCTTCCCAGAAAAGGAATATATTATTTGCTGTGGTTTGCAGGGTATTTGGATAGGAATGTTATTTGGAACATTTGTTCAAACTGTGGTGCTCATCATCATCACATACAGAACTGATTGGGACAAGCAGGTATTGGATTCTTCTATATATCGTTTTCTTTTCATACTCGGTCCGCATCATTTGTAAATTTTAATTTTTCAAGTTGACTTAATGAATTCGTAGCAAAAATTGAGATAGTGTTTACATGATAATGCACAGGTAGAGATTGCCAGGAGTCGTGTCAAGAAGTGGGCTATGGCGGACGCTGAAGAATAGAATGGCAGATTTGCCTAGCCCACTAGGGTCAGTCGCCGTGGCTTCATAAAGTAGTTTGTCTCACGGGTAGTGGGCTTAATCCAGCTCATTTGGGTCAGTCCACCGTGGGTCCGGTAAGAAGTGGGCTTAATTGGACCGGGTGATTATTTTATGTACCGTGGACGGATTCAACAATGAAGTAAAGCTATTTATCATCTCCGCTTTGTTTGTCTTTTTGTTTGTTTTATTTTAAAAGACATTTAAATCCTGACCACAAGTAGGAGTAAGCAATCGGTTTTCTGGTTATGAAGCCGAATAGATTAATTTTAAAAACCTAACCAAACCAAATTCTTATTTTAGCTGAACCAGAAATTTGATACGGTTTTTTTTTTTTTTTGAATAACAAGGAGAAACAGAGCCACAAAAACAGCAAAATAAAAACTAACCTAACTGGATAATCTCTTTTCATCATCCACCACCTTTACACAAAAATGGTGGTGGTTGATCAAAAATATGAAATTCACCTATTCTATCACAAGCAAACTTAGCCAAAAAATAAGCATAGTAGTTAGCTTCCCTAAATATAAGATTGAAAGAAATATTCTAGTCCCTACACAAAAGTATATGAGCTCAGAAATAATATCAAAAAATGGATGTTGATCATTGTTGTAATGAAATAGTAGATTCAATGCATCAGCATAGGAAAACGTTGAGATTTCGCATTCCTTTCTCCCAGCACAAAAGAAGACCATGAACAATTGCTAGTAATTCTGTCACAGCAACAGGATAATGATCGACACAAATGCTGAAGCCATATACCCAATTAGCATCTCAGTCTCTAACCCATACAGCAAAGACTCATACAGCAATACCAGACGATAGACTTGAGGGGACCACAAGGAAGGGAGGCTTACGCAGAGGCACTCGAGTAAGGCGTGCCACTTGGAAGCTGAGAAGAGAGTGAACAAATATATTCTGTTATGACAGAATAGGGGGTGTGCGGTTTTATGAGTTTGTCTCTCTCATTACTTTCTTCCTAGACCACTTGTGGTTGTTTCTGCTTCCTTTTCCCTGATTTGTTTTCTGCAATTCTGTTATGCTGAGATTATGCTTATGAATTATCATATTCTGGATATCGCATTTTACAGACTATTCTGAGTTGCTTTCTGCATAATATATTCAGAACTTTCATCCATTTTATTGGTTTGTTCGTTTCTACTTATAGTGTATAACAATTTTGGTGCTCTCATTGAGAGATGGCACAAGTCACTTCAAGGATCTTTAAGCTGATGTGAAAACTTTAAGTGATAACATTGAACGCATGCAGGTAGAATATAATGCTAAAATGGAGTTGATGGAATCCAACTCTGACTTGAGATTAAGCAAGATTGAGACGGCCATTGAAACCTTGACAAAAGCTCCCCACGCTACAGCTACCACCAAGGAGTTCGCTGTAAGTTTGCAATCGTAGAAAATGCCATAGAAACCTTCAGCAAAAACATGGACATGCAAAACCGAACGATTGAAGGGCTTCAGTCTTTAGTTAAATCAGGGGGAAAGGTAGAAGCAAATGATAGAGGCTATTTTTCTAATGTGATGCCACAAGTAAAGGTTGATTTCCCAAAATTTGATGGTTCTGACCCATTACATTAGATCTTCCATGCAGAGCAGTACTTTGCTTTTTGTGAGACCCCAGATTTACAGAGAGTCATATTGGCTGCCATTAATTTTGAGGGGATTGTCATACCATGGTTCTAGATGCTATAAAAAATCCATGTGATCACTAATTGGACTTTACTCGTGAAGGCTGTGGAAAAAGAGTTTGGGCCATCTCCATACGAGCAGCCCAAGGCCAAGTTGTTTAGACTAGTGCAAACAGGAATTGTAGATGATTTTTATCTTGAATTCATGACTTTAGCAAATCGGACTGAAGGAGTGACCAATGAAGCCTTACTTGATTTATTCATCAGTGGTCTGAAGCCAGATATTCGGAGGGAGGCAATCACTCATTCGCCCCTGAATCTACAGTTAGCGGTTGGGCTAGCAAAATTTTATGATTCAAAGAGAGATATATTCTCAGTGCCGTCAAAGTCAAAGGGTGGTATGAATACCATCGAAAATTCACAAGAAATAGGGGGAAATTCCATTGCAGCGTCTATGAGTAATGCTTTGAGTTCGGGAATGAAGAGTACTCTACCCCCATTGTTAGCCACCCCTGTGATGAAATCATTGAACAATTTGAAGAAGATGAGTCCAGCCGAGATGATGATTAAAAGGGAGAAGGGATTGTGTTATACTTGCGACGCCAAATTTTCACTAAGTCATAGGTGTCCCAATAAGCAATACATGTTAATTGAATGTGAGGATAGGGCTCCGAAAGATGACCCAGGAGGACAGAAGAGCGAAGGGTCGAAGGATGATAATGAAGAACTGACCATACACCATTTATCACTGCAAGCCTGCCAAGGAAAACCGGGTAAGGCTACTATTCGCTTTGAAGGGCTTATTAAGGGCACAAAGGTTCAGGTTTTGCTTGATGGGGGTAGTTTCGATAGCTTTATACATCCCCGTATTGTACAACATCTAAATTTACCCATTGAATTAGCTGAGAATGTACGGGTTATGGTAGGGGATGGGTATGCCATGAAGGGGGAACGTTTGATAAGGAAATTACAAGTTTAAATCTAGGGACACATTATTGCTTTTCCTGCTTTTGTATTATCAGTGGCTGGCGCAGATGTGGTGATTGGAGCATTATGGTTAGCTACCTTGGGTCCTCATGTTGCTGATTACACAGTGGGGCAATCTTATATAAAATGTTGTAATGGTGATGATTTCTTAACCTTGTTAGGAAAGCAAGGTCCTACTGTCTCACAGGCAAAACTACACCAGTTCCAATGATGAGTGAACATGAGTGCTATCTCAGAATACTACTTGTTGCAGTTGGAAGTTAAGACTGAACCCGAGACCAGTGATTTGAAGATTGAGGAAGAAATTCCTAACGAGATGAAAGAGTTGCTACAGAAATATCAACCAATATTTGAAAAACCCCACGGACCTCCCCCTAAACGAGCCCAAGAACACCGGATTCAGTTAGTTGAAGGGACAGGACTAGTTAAAGTAAGGCCTTACAGGTATCCCTTCAGCTGAGATGGAAAAAATGGTGGCAGCATTACTAAATGAAGGATTGATACAGCCAAGTAATAGTCTCTTCTCTGCCCCAGTGATTCTGGTGAAAAAGAAAGACGAAACATGGCATTTTTGCGTGGACTACAGAGCATTAAATGTAGTGACAATAAAAGATTCTTTCTCGATGCCTACAGTAGATGAACTCTTGGATGAATTAGGTGGATCCAAATATTATTCTAAGCTCGATTTACAATCAGGATATCATCAAGTGCTTATAAATGCAAAGGATAGAGAAAAGACTGCCTTTTGTACTCACCAAGGCTTATACGAATGGCTTGTGATGCCTTTCAGGCTCACCAAGGCTCCTGCAACATTCCAGGCACTCATAAATTCAATCTTGCAGCCTTTCTTACATAAGTTTGTATTGATTTTCTTTGATGATATGCTTATCTATAGCACCTCTTGAGCTCAACACCTAGAACATATGGAAAGGGTGCTTGAGGTGATGCATACATATAAGTTATTTGCAAAAATGACTAAGTGTTCATTTGGAAGAATACAAGTAAAATACTTGGGACATGTAATATCAGGCAGTGGAGTGACTATGGATCCTTTTAAGGTCAGAATTGTACAGCAGTGGCCTACTCCAAAAAATGTGACTTAATTACGGGGTTTCTTGGGGCTTTCAGGATATTATAGGTGATTTATTAAGCAATATGCTCATATTACGCAACCTCTTGACACAATTATTACAGAAAGATGCTTTTAATTGGTCTATGGAGGCTCAAAATGCGTTTGACTAACTTAAGCTGGCTTTCACTAAAGCACCTACTCTAGCTTTGCCTGAATTTGCCAAACTTTTATACTAGAGACTGATGCATCGGGATATGGCATAGGAGCTGTCTTAAGTCAAGATGGACATCCTGTTGCATATTTTTCTAAGCAAATCTCACATCGGATGCAAGCTCAGTCCGCTTATGTTAGAGAACTTTATGCCATCACCCAAGCTGTATTTAAGTTTTGCCATTACTTGTTGGTAATCACTTCATCATCCGGACCGACCAAGAAAGCTTGAAACACTTGCAGGGTCAAGTTATACAAACTTCCGGAACAGGAACAATACCTTCCAAAATTGATGGGATATAGTTTTTCTATTGAATACAAATCTGGAAAAACTAATCTTGCTGCTGATGCATTATCCAGGGTCACTTGTATGAGTTTGGTTCAGGTTCAATCCACACTAATTAATGACATTTGTCAAGCAGCTCGAGTGTCCTAACACATACAAGAACAGGTTGCACGTTTTGAACAAGATCCTAGTGCAATGATTGGATTTTCTGTTAAAGATTCATTCTTGTTTTGGAAAGGACGTTTGGTTGTTCCTTATGATTGTTTTGAGTTGATTAATCGGTTACTACTTGAGTATCACTCTTCAATTGTGGGAGGACATGCAGGGGAGTTACGTGCCTTTAAACGCATTGCGACTCTATTTTATTGGCCGAGAATGCGCCGAGATGTGCAAACATTTGTACGACCTTGTAGTGTGTGTCAACAGGCCAAGCACCTTTACACATCCCCAGCAGGCTTATTATCACCTCTACCTATCCCTAATAAGATTTGGGAAGATATTGTAATGGATTTCATCACTTAATTAGGTTACTCAGTTATCTTTGTAGTTGTTGATCGTTTATCTAAATATGCTCACTTCTTACCTCTTAGATAGAATTATTCAGCTCAGATTGTTGCTGAATCCTTCATTCAAAATGTGGTTAAGCTACATGGTTTTCCTCGTACCATTGTTTTAGATCGTGACAAGGTTTTTGTTAGCTCTCTTTGGCAACATTTGACTAGACTGAATGGGGCCAAGTTGCATTTGAGTTCCTCCTACCATCCACAAACGGATGGCCAGTCAGAAGTATTGAACAAGTGTCTTGAAATGTATCTTCGTTGTTTTGTATTTGATTGTCCAAAACAATGGCTTGATTTTTTTACCATGGGTAGAGTTTTCTTATAACATTGCTTTTCATACAGCCATTAACATGTCTCCCTTTAAAGCTGTATATGGGAGGGAACCTCCAACCTTACTTCCTACCACTATTTCAAATGACTTGCCTGCTGATTTATACCAGCAACTCCCAAAATGAGATGAAATCATTGTCACACTCAAGGCAAATCTACTGAAGGCTCAGAATCGGATGAAGAAAAATGCAAATTGAAAACGATCTGAGGTGCATTTTACTGAAGGTGATCTGGTTTTTGTGAAGCTTCAACCTTATCATCAGCATTCGGTAGCACTATGAAAATATCAAAAGCTGGCCTTGAAATATTTTGGACCATTCCCTGTAGTCCAAAAAATTGGTTCTGCTGCTTACAAGCTTGAATTACCCACCACTACTAAAATTCACCCTGTTTTTTCATGTTTCGTTACTCAATAATTATCATATTCTGGATGTTGCATTTTATAGACTATTCTGAGTTGCTTTCTGCATATTATATTCAAAACTTTCATCCATTTTATTGGTTCGTCTATTTCTATTTCTATTGTATAACCGTCCACATTTCTTAACTCTATTCCTCACAGAATCGTCGACATCCAATCTAACAGTTTCCATTTTTGGTCTAGATCAAAGTTCTAGGGGTACTCTCGGTTGCTTCCCAAGATCCATTTTTCTTTGTTAACATTGAATTAAAACATGTCTTTGGAATTGTTTTTTAAAATAATATATTAAAATATTCCAAAATCTAAATTTTGGTGACTGTGGAAAGAGTTTAAAATTTTCTATCATGTTTTATTTTATTAAAATTATTTTTTCTCGCAATATAAATATGCTAGTGTGTACATGTGTATTAATTTCTAATCATATATCGTGTAAAAATGAGCTCCTTCAAAAAAAAAAAAAAGAAGGTAATTGACATAAAAAAATGTAGAAAAGTCAGGCAACAGATACGACAAGAGCGAAGGGTGCTTGACTTTTCGTAGCCTGATCATCCAGCAAGAAGCGCAAGAAGAAATCCTATTTCAAGTGCTTCCTGCAATTTCATCTTTTTTACCTTGGGGCTCAAGCATTCATTTAAATAATAGCGGAGAGGAGCGGAGGATTTAAACCCTCTTATTATTTATATATACTCCGTTCGTTTATATATATATATATATAACAAAAATTATATTATATTATTTAAGAAAGTTGATTAACCATAATAATTATATTTAAAAATAACAAAATTAGATTAAAATACCCTATATTAATTAACATAAACATACATTAATTATTTCTCATTCATGTAAATTATGAGGGGTGATTTAAAAAATGTGTAATAAATACTTATTGAAATAAGTAATTTTTCTTATATAAAAAAATAAAAAAAAATGATAGTTTATCTAACAATAAAAAATGAAGGGAGTATCATACAATTTAATAAAATATGTTAACTAAAATAATTATATATGAAAATAAAAAAATTAGACTAGAATATTCTATATTAATCAACATAAGAATATATTAATTGTTTTTTATTAGTATAAATTATAATAAATAATTTAGAGAATGTGTAATAAATATTTATTGAAATGAATAATTTTACTTATAAAAATATACAATTGAAAAGTAGTAGTTTCTTTAACAAGAAAAAACAAAGGAAGTGTGTGTGTGTCCCTTCCTATTTACAAATTGGCAATTATTTTATTATTCTAAAAAAAACTATCATTAAATATTTTATATAAGTGTTGTAATAATGATAACTAAAATTTGATTAAAGCATAATTTTGGTCATTTAATTTTATATAAGATTGTAGTTTGGTCCCTTAAGTTTATAAAAATATCTTTTCAATATTCTAATCCTAACATCGTTAATTTTAAATAATTATTTTTTGTGTCAATTATTGTTATTTTTTAAAAATAAATTTAATGTCATTTTTTGAAAATATTTTTGTCAATATTTAAAACTTATATGAAGGGATTTTTTGTTATGAAATAACAATGCTAGGATTAAAAAATTAACAGGTATTTTATAAAATTAATAAGCCAAAATAAAATATATAAAATTAAATGATTAAATATATACTTTAGTTTTAAAATTTTATTGGACTATTTTTTTTAAAAAAAATAATAAATAAAGTATGAATATGTTAAAAGAAATTATAAAAACTATCTAATAACTTATATTTTAGAACATGTAAAAATAAAAAATTAAAAACCTACAGTGCATTAGAGAGAGCTGTAACTCCTCTCTCTTACAGTGGTAAGTTATGATATATTAATTTTTCTCTTACTTTTTTTAAAAAAATATAATTTTAAATTCTCGTATTTCATTCATATTTTATTATTAATTTTAATATTTTTTTAATATTTTAAGTCCTTACATTATTATTTTAAATTTTTTAGGTTTCTTCATGAATAAAGTATAAAAATCATGAAGAGATATAGAATACCAAAAATAAAAAATTATAAAAATTTAAAATATAAAAAATAATGTAAGAATCAATAATAATTATAAGTAAAGTGTATGAATAAAAAATTATGTTTTACATACTTTTTATTATGACATGTGATAAGTGATCACCACTCAAATTATGCATGGACCATACGCCTATACTACATATCGTAGTTTGAATATTTGATCAGATATTTTGGGGGTTAAATTACATTAATTAAAAGCCGATCATTACTGACTCACGTTCGTGATTATTTTATGACGAGGGCTAATGTCAGCTTTAAAAAAACTAATAATTTTACAAGCGAATCCACGAAAAATAGTTCTAATATCGAAGAATGAAAGAGCAATTTTTGTCATCCACTCATCAACGGCTAATGAAATTAACGTCAAGTTTAAAAATAGGGAAGTCAATTCAAACTAGACCTCCTCTCACTAACCACTCTCATCACCATAACACCTAACTGGTTAGTTTTCTGTGAGTGAAGCTCAGCTAGCTGCCAAGTGGGGTGCTTTATTTAGTTACGGAAGTCGGAAGAGGACTGGCGCAATTTGTTTTCCCTTTCTTCCCCACAAGTGTTCGTGATCAATTTTTCTTTCATTAGTTCCCGGCCAGAACAGAAAACATATATATGCTTATGAAAAACACCCTATGCCTCAATATTGAGTGGGAAAACACAACAAATTAACAAAAGCTTGCTTTGCTCGCAAAGATGGAAGAATCTGCAAGAAAGCTGCTCAGGGAAGAAATATCTCCAGAAGAAGATGAGCTACCTCTGATAAAAAGGGTATGGCAGGAGAGTAAAGTGATGTGGGTAGTAGCAGCTCCAGCCATATTCACTCGAGCCTCCACCTTTGGCATCAATGTTACGAGCCAGGCCTTTGTTGGTCATATTGGCTCCAAGGAGCTCGCTGCCTTTGCCCTTGTCTTCACTGTTCTTATCAGATTCGCCAATGGTATTCTGGTGGGTGTGTGTGTGTGCGTGTGCGCGCGCGCGCGCGCTTTCCTAAATTCACTTCCTTTCTTCATCTTTGATTTATTTTCCAAATGATTTCTCCAATATTCTTGGAATGACATGACAGTATTGATCACCTGTCTGATAAATTTCTCTTTAAATTTAGTTCGGAATGGCCAGTGCTTTGTCAACTCTATGTGGCCAAGCATATGGTGCCAGGAGATATGGCATGATGGGTGTGTACCTGCAACGATCATGGATAGTCTTGTACTTCACCAGTCTTCTTCTTCTTCCCCTGTTCTTCTTCACCAGTCCGATTATGAAGATGCTGGGTCAAGATGACAGCATTGCGGATGTGGCAGGAACTATTTCACTCTGGTCCATCGCTGTCATTTTCGCCTATGTTTTGTCGTTCACCTTCCAGACATTCCTGCAGTCTCAAAGCAAGAACGTTGTTATATCATTCTTGGCTGCTTTCTCCATCACAATTCATGTATGCTTGTCGTGGCTTTTGACTATCAAATACAAGCTTGGGATACCTGGTGCAATGATTTCAACAATTCTTGCATATTGGATACCTAACATTGGCCAATTTATATTTGTGACATGTGGTTGGTGTCATGAAACGTGGAATGGCTTCTCCATTTTAGCCTTCAAAGATCTGGGGCCTGTGGTCAAGCTCTCTCTTTCATCAGGTGTCATGCTGTGGTGAGTGTATATGTGAACCAGTGGGTTGGTTTGATTGTTTTTCGAAATGAATTATAACAGTTAATAGGATTTAGGTTTTCTTAATTTCTGCAGTCTAGAGCTCTGGTATAACACAATATTAGTTCTATTAACCGGTAGCATGAAAAATGCAGAGGTTGAAATTGACGCTCTTTCTATATGGTAAGCATTCTGATGAATCATTTTGGTATACTCTGGTCCTTGTTTATGCATGTTGAGCTGGTTGCATGAATGACTGGTAGATACTCTTTTCACTCTCCAAAGATGAAATCTTTAATTCTTTCAGTCTCAACATCAATGGATGGGAAATGATGATAGCCTTTGGTTTTCTGGCTGCAGCTAGGTAATGACACCCTTTCTTTCTTTCTTTCTTTGTTTTATATCTCTGTTGTTGACCAAGTCATTAAGTATTGTATCCCTCAATAATTGTCATTTTATTATTACCTACCAAATGAAAACTGCTGCCACGAACTAGTCATAAATGTGTGCTTGAAAGAAGCAGCTATTGTTATCACATGTCTAAATGCAGAAGGTTGACTAGATATGTTTAAATATAAATATGCAGCGTTAGAGTGTCAAATGAGCTTGGGAGAGGGAGCTCCAAGGCTGCGAAGCTCTCAATAGTAGTGACGGTGGCGACATCATTCACGATAGGGTTCATTCTGTTCTTATTCTTCTTGTTCTACAGGGAGAGACTTGCCTACATATTCACTACGAATCAACAAGTGGCCGTTGCAGTTGGAGACTTGTCACCTTTGCTTGCATTCTCTATATTGTTAAACAGTGTTCAACCTGTTCTTTCTGGTACGTTCATAGCGTTTTATACCTGTTTCCTGATAGTTTATTTAACAGTTGATCAATACTGTAGTTATAAGTTTAGGATTGTATTGGATCAGTTAATGAACAGATGATGTGATCAGTTGAATATTTGAACAGGGGTTGCCGTAGGAGCAGGATGGCAAAGCATCGTGGCGTATGTGAACATAGGGTGTTATTACATCATAGGAATCCCGGTTGGAGTTGTACTCAGTAAAGTTCTTCATTTGCAAGTCAAGGTGCATGACCAAGCTTTTTCCTTTCGAGCCTCCTCATGATATGTGATTAAGCCTTTTGAAGATCTATTATTGCTATGAGTCTTTTAATTTGCAGGGTATCTGGATGGGGATGTTGTTTGGGACACTGGTTCAGACAATTGTGCTAACAATTATTACTTGTAAAACTGATTGGGACGAGCAGGTATGTGAATAGATGCACTTTCACCTCTTTAACTGCACTGCTATGTTTTGTGGGTAGAAGAAACAATTGTAACAAAACGTGAAAGATGATGGCGTGTCACGTGACTATAGGTCCTGTTGGCTCGACGTCGCGTTGATAGGTACTCTGTGGACGATGAAGAAACAGACACGGTCACATCTAATGCATAATTAGTTTAAACAGAGGCACGAGGGTGTTTCATTAATGATGTGAGCAAGCAGTGTCCACATAGTTTGATGCGTAGTACAGTATTTGGTAAAGATTATATTAGAGATAATCTTTTGCTGTATATGGTGGTGTCATATACTCATGTGACATCCCAGTCCCACCAAATAAAGTGGATGCTTTTCTTATCCAGGTCTTGTCTCTACATCCTCTCCATACATCTGATCTCCTAGCCAATATCTATGACATCCAAATCCCACTTCCTTGATCTAACGGTTCTCCCACTTTGCAACTTATGGAATTTGTGGTTTCAACTTCCCTTTGTTTTTGTCAATTGCCTATCATTGGAAGCCTTCAGTTATGTTAATGTCAGTTGATTATTAATTTTCTATCATATCAGATATGGGATAGGAGAGAGGTATGAAGAGAATGTAAGGAGAGAATTTGAATCCAGCTGGTCGGTAGATGTATAGATCTGTTCTCGTTAATGAAAATTGTATCAATAACATGGTTTTAAAATTGACAAAGAAGATCAGAAGCCATGGGAATGGACGAGAGGCTTTGCAAATATTTACTTGTTATCTGAGCCATCAAAAGTCAAACAGCTGGGGGGTTGATTCAAGAGGTGTCAATTTTTCAAGTGTCATCTTTTAATAAATTGTTCTTCACCCCGAAGAGAAATATTTTTTTTTAATTCTATTTATGCTATGAGACATGTTATTAAATTTTTATTATAAATTTTTTAACCCTTCATTAAATCTTAGAAACAGAAAAAATATTATTAAAAATATATATTTAATAGAGATAAAATTAAAAATTTAATAAATTTTTAGATAAAGCTAATGAATTTTAAAATTTTTTCTAGTTATAAAAAATATTAAAAATATCTTATAAATAAGATTAGAGAAAGTAGTATTTATTAAAAAATAAAATAAAATTCAAATGTAAAAAATATCAATCATTTAAATTATAACTTAACTGTTTAAAGGCTGATATTACCATCCGCAATTATTTGAGAAAAAGGACCATATTTGACATCTTATTGGGTAGCATAAGAGGCACCTATTTTAGACTAACCGTTTAGGCTCTATATCTCTCGAGGACTCTATTTTTTTGAGAGCTGAATTTGAAAATGAGACATTTTTGTTTAAACGAATTTTGAGGCCTAATTATTATAAAATTTTTAAAAATGAATTAGGTTTTAGGTTAATCTTTTAGGCCTCATTTTTTTTCCTAGTCAACATGTGACTGAAATTGTTGAAATTTGTATGATTAAAATTATTAATATATTAATATTGTGAAATAATATGGTTTAAATTGTTTTATTTGTCTTAGTTTCTGAGTTAATAAATATAAATGACAGAATTTATTGAATTGTGCATTATCATAATTACATATTTAAGTTAAAAATAAATAAAAATCTTAACAAGACATATAATTGTAATTTTTAAATATGATTTTATGATTACTTTTTATTTTTAAACTGTTACAATTAATACCATTAACAATATATTTAATGCATACATTTTTTTAACAAAAAGGAAGGTCCAAAATAGCGTGCAAGGGGCACGTTGATCTGGTTATGAATAGAATTGGATGAATCAGACAGCATAATTTTCATTTTTCGTTTGTTCATACATTATAAAAAAGTTTGGTTTCTTTCTCTTCAAATATATAATGCAAGCATAAATATAATAATACAAGGTATCAGCTTCCATAAATCACTTTCCCCTTTATCTTATGATTTGGGCACATATGCATGTTGACATACATCTACTATTTTGACCGAGCGGGTGTTTTTGGTTAGTATATTTAATTTTCTTTACAATTATTTAGTACTTAATATTTTACCTTAATTTAAATTTGAACATTTTCGGCTTCAAATAGAAGTAGCTCCCCAATGTTTTACCTTTTTTGTTCAAAAGGTTCAATAAACTCAATCAATCACAGCCTTGATGAGTATTCTATTATTTTCACTCAATTTAACCATTACTGTTATCCAGAAAGTAGATTTATTTTTATCCTTTTCATTAGAAAAAGTCAGACATTTTGAATCAACTTCTTCACAATCAAATAAATAAAAATAAAATAATATATTTAATGCTTACATTTTTATAAAAGAAATAAAAGGGAAGGTCCAAAATAGTGTGAATAGGCATGCATCTAGTGATCTTCTACTGATCTAAATTGGATATTTCTGACGGCAGAATAGTCGTCTTCCTGCTCTTGTCATCTCTATTCTTCTTCTTCTAGCTACTGTACGGTTTGGCGAAAGAGGTTCAGGTATGTTCTGCAAAATTTTCTCCCTTTTCTTCTTCATTTTGAAGGAGTTTATTTTCAGATTATTGTAATTAATATGCAGAGAATGTGTACGTGTTTGTGGATGTGTTTTTCTCTGACTTTCTATTGTGTGCTATATATATACTTCTGTGTCTATAACTCATCACCAATGTACGAATCAGTTTTAAATGTGGACTCCTCAGATCATCTTAGATACAATGAGTGTGCTTACTGCTTAACGATCACTCAAAAACCTTCTAAGCCTGAATTAATCATATGAAAAAAATGATTTTATCTTTTTGGACGACGTACAATGCGTGTTAAACGAGTCAAGATCTAGAAGATGACACCTATTTTATCATCTTAACTTGTCCATAAATATCTTCGTGATTGTGTGGTGGGAAGTAAATTATATGCTTATAATTGTGCTTACATCTTAAAATAATTTTATTTTTGCCCAAGAGACACAACTCCTCTCTTCTCCAATGAAAAAAAAAAATATAAATTAAAAAGTTAAGAATTAATTTTATCCCTCAAATATATGTAAAGAATCACTAAAAGCTTTAAATTTAACTTGAGATCATTTTTATCCCTCAACTTAAAAAATTCATTCCCCAACACTTTAACATTAATTTGTCTAACATTTGTTAGCGAGGATCCTACTTTTTAAATTTTTAATATTTTTATTAAAATATTACTTGTGAACCCTACGTTACTTTTTATATATATTTTTATCCTCTCTCTCTCTCTCTTCTCCCTCCCTCTCTCTGCAATTCCCGACTCCCTTTCTTCATCATCCCTTTTTAAAAACTCTCGACTACGTGCACTCCTCCAATCTTCCCAGCTTCGTCTGTGAGTGGCATATTCTTGAATGTGATCAACGAGCGAAGAGAGAGCGTGCTAGTGGCGTGCACAGGAGAGTGTGAGTCCCCGTGGTAGTGTTGAGCGAGAAGTGGGTGTTGCTGAGTGAGGACATGGCACAGAAACTGAATGAACAACAAGCAATTCTTATTCTTTCAAGTCTGCCTCTTTCACAGCCACAAGGGTCCTATTTATAATCCTAGAATTCGTGAAACTGAACCATACAAATTTAAAGGGGGGTTACAGAAATTAAGGGGCGGTTACAAAGAGTTTATGATGCTCCATTATGTGTGTCTCCCGTTTTCTGCTTCATTGTGTGTGTGCCTTCCGTTTCAACTCGTTTCTGCTCTTTCCATTTCATCCTCCTCGGGTTGGGAAGAACTCACCCTCGAGTCAAATTTATCATCTTCATCAATGTATGGAGATAAATCAGCGACATTGAAGGTGGCAGATACACCATAAGAATCAGGTAATTTCACCTTGTAAGCATTGTTGTTGATCCTTTGCACTATCTTGAACGGACCATCAGCTCTTGGAGACAACTTGGTGTTTGGCTGTTTAGGAAATCGTTCCTTTCGTAGATGTATCCAAACCAAATCTCCTACCTTAAAAGTCTGCTGTCTTCGATGCTTGTCATGTTGAGCTTTGTATCTCAAATTCTACTTTTGGATTCGCTCGTGGACTTGCTCATGCAACTTCTTAATTTCCTTAGCCCTTTGGTCAGCATCAAAGCTGTATTGCTGCTTATCAAGTAAAGGGCTCAAGTCTAGTGGACTAAGGGGACGAGCGCCATAAACAACTTCAAACGGACACTTCCCAGTTGCTTGATTGACAGAGTTATTATAAGCAAACTCAACTTGAGCAAGAATAAGATCCCACTGCTTCAAATTCTTCCCCACGAAACTGCGAAGAAGATTACCAAGAATCCTATTTATAGCTTCAGTTTGACCATCTGTCTGGGGATGACTAGCACTGCTAAATTGGAGCTTAGTTCCCATCTTCTTCCATAGCGTCCGCCAAAAGTGGCTAAGAAACTTCACATCACGATCAGAAGTGATAGTTTTAGGAATGCCATGAAGACGCACAATCTCCTTAAAGTACAAGTCTGCTACTTGAACAGCATCATTGGTCTTCTGGCATGGGATGAAATGGGCCATTTTTGATAAACGATCCACAACTATCATGATAAAATCTTTTTACCTTTGAGTCCGTGGTAAACCTAGAACAAAATCCATAGTTATATCTTCCCATGGTGCTTCTGGAATTGGCAGAGGCATGTATAGTCCGGTATTCTGACCCTTGGATTTAGCCAAGTGACAAATTTTGCATCTTTGTATATGCCTGTTGACATTTTGTTCAAGTCGAGGCTAGTAAAAGTTCTCCTTCACTAGATCAACTGTTTTATCCCGTCCAAAATGTCCAGCTAATTCACCGTCATGTGCTTCCCAAATTATGGCTTCTCTTAAGGGACCCTGTGGAATACAGAGGGTTTTACCTCGAAATAAAAAACCATCATGCCTGTAAAACTGGTGGAAAGGTTGATTTATGGTTGCTTCCCACACTCCTCGGAAATCAGGATCATCCTGATACAACTCTTTGATAAGGTCAAATCCAACAACCTTAGTTTGCAGTGTTGTAAGTAGCACATGACGACGACTAAGGGCATCAGCTACGGAGTTCAGAGTTCCAGCCTTATGTTTGATAAGGAATGGATAAGACTGTAAGAGTTCACTCCAACGAGCATGTCTGTGGCTGATCTTCTGTTGGGAATTCAAATACTTGAGAGCCTCATGATCCGAAAAAGGTATGAACTCTTTATTTAGGAGATAATGACTCTAATATTGAAGAGCTCGGACAATGGCATAGAATTCCTTGTCATAGGTAGAATATCTGAGTTTGGCATCATTGAGCTTCTCACTAAAAAAGGCAATGGGATAGCCTTCCTGGCTTAAGACAGCACCAATGCCGGTGTTAGAAGCATCACAACTAACTTTAAATACTTGGTCAAAATTAGGAAGAGCTAGGACTGGAGCTTCGGTCAACTTCTTCTTAAGCTCCTCAAAGCTTTTATGAGTTTGCTCTGTCCACTGAAACTTCTCTCCTTTAGTGCAGTCTGTAAGTGGTGCGGCAATTGAGCTAAAATTATGGATGAACCTCCTGTAGAAAGAAGCTAATCCGTGGAAGCTTCGAACCTCCTGGATAGATTTTGGAATTGGCCAGCTGTCAATGGCTGCAACTTTGCTTGGATCAACGCGAACACCTTCCGCGGTAATGATGTAACCCAAGAACACAACTTCGTTGGTGAGGAAGGTGCACTTCTTGAGATTTGCATAAAGCTTCTGCTCACACAAGGCTTGCAAAACTTACCGCAAGTGATCTAAATGCTCCTCTTGATTCTTACTGTAAATAAGAATATCGTCAAAGTATACAATAACAAATTTACTAATGAAGGGTCTTAATACCTGATTCATCAGGCGCATAAATTTGTTAACCCAAAAGGCATCACATTCCACTCGTATAAGCCATCTCTGGTCTTGAAAGAGATCTTCCACTCATCTCCTGGCCGAATTCTGATTTGATGGTACCCACTACGAAGGTCAATTTTGGAGAAAGTAGTGGCACCATGCAATTGGTCCAGCATATCATCAAGCCGAGGTATCGAAAACCGATACTTAATAGTGATCTTGTTGACGGCTCGACAGTCAATGCACATTCTCCAACTTCCATCCTTCTTAGGTACTAGAAGAATAGGTACAGCACAAGGGCTGATACTTTCTCGAACTAACCCTTTCTTCAACAACTCTTCAACTTGTCGTTGGACTTCGGCATGTTCCTAAGGACTCATCCTATAAGCAGGCTTATTAGGAATGACTGCTTCTGGAACGAAGTCAATGGCATGCTGTATGTCTCGCATTGGAGGCAACCCTGGTGGTATCTCATCGGATATTACATCTGGAAATTTTGACAATAACGGAATGACTCCAGGTGGATTGGCCGTCTCGTCGTTCACCTCAAGCACCAGAATAATGCTCATCATTTGGGCTTCGGATTTTGATACCTTGAATTCCTTCTTAGTCAACAAAGACACTAACGGCTTAGAAACACTAGATTCCCTTAAAGATTGGCTAATCTCATTGGGTGGTAAAGGCGCTAGTGTGAACTTGACACCATCTTTCGTAAAAGCATAAATGTTCGCTCGCCCGTTGTGTATAGCATGTCGGTCATATTGCCATGGCCTCCCCAAGAGAAGGTGGCATGCATCCATAGGAACAACATCACATAAAACTTCATCACAATATCGATTCCCAATAGAAAAGGTCACAAGGCATTATTTAGAAACTTTTACCTCATTCCCTTTGTTGAGCCAGTGAAGCTTGTAAGGTTGCGGATGATCTTGTGTTGGCAACTTCAATTTCTCCACCATGTAGTCAGATACTACATTTTCACAGCTTCCACTGTCAATAATAACATTACAAACTTTTCCTTGGGCCGTGCAATGAGTGTGAAAAATGTTGCGTCATAGCCAAGGTTCTTCTTTGACTATTGTTGTATGCAGACTTCGTCTAAGCACCAATGCTTCTCCTTGATCAGCAGGTGTGACCTCCTCGTCATATACGGGATTAGTGCCGTAGAACTCAGCGTCTTCCTCATCTTCTTCAAGTGCTTCATACCCTGATCCTTCTCGAATGGTGATAACCCTTCGTGTAGGACAGTCCGTAGCAATGTGGCCAAATCCTTGGCATTTAAAGCGTTTGATTGCTTTAGAACCAGATTCCTTGACAGCATTGGATGGTGGTTTGTGCATAGCATAGGTTGTGGCTTGCTTGAAGAGTTGGTCTGCTGAAATTCTGCTTTACGACCTTCTGGATAACTCCTAGAGGATGAAGGTTGGAAAGTGGATCTTTTGGGCATCTGCTTCTCAACACGCACGGCCAGACGGATGACATCATCCAAGGTCCAATATTGTTGAAGCTGGACTGGACGACTGATATCTGTGTTTAAGCCTGTAAGGTACCGGGCTATTGTTTGCTCCTCCTTCTCCTGAATATCACACTTCATCATGAGTTGTTCAAACTCTCTAGTATATTCTTCTATAGATAAAGATCTCTGTCGAAGATTTTGCAACTGGATAAAATTATCCTGGTGGTAATGATCTGGTAAAAATTTCCTGGTGAGCTGGCGTTTCATTTTCTCCCAAGTCTCAATCTTGCGCTTTCCCTCACGTTCTCGCTTCCGTCTGAGGTTTTCCCACCAAATAGAAGCATGTTTCTTGAGTTTGAGGGCAACAATTTTGACTTTCTGTGCATCTAGAATCTCCTTGTATTCAAATACTCGTTCAACAGTTTGCAGCCAATCCATAAACTCGTCTGGCTGGAGCCTTCCCTCAAATTCAGGAATGTCAACCTTGATGTCATTAGGACGGAATTGTTGTTGTGGGCGGCGGCGGTTGTCAGTAGATGACGAACTACTGCTTCCCGAATCTCTCTCTAAGTTTTCTCTGTTGTTGTTTAACAGAGTTTGCTGCAATTCCACAGTGGCTTCCAATTCTCCTATCCTACGTCTCAACTCTTCCATCTCAACCTCGTGCACATGTCTACGTCTTTGAGGCATTTTGGATAAGTGTCAAGGCTAGGGATAAAGATTGAGGTGCGATTGGAAACGTTGAAGGATATAGGGGTAAAGTGAGATTTTTTTTAAAAGGCTAAGGGCAAAATGGGAATTTTGGACTGTCTAGGGGGTAAAATAACGATTCTAGAAAAATGATGGGTCAAATTGAAATTTATGAAAAATATAGGGGTTAAAATGTAATTCAGGTAAAATCAAGGGGCAAAAGTGTAATTTTAGGAAAGTTTAGGGGTTAAAATGGAATTTCGAAAAAAAATTTGGGGGTCAATATGAAATTTCATAAAAAATAGGGGCAAATTTTGAATTACTGAAAGATTTGGGGCGAAAATGTAATTTCTGAAAAGTTGGCTGACTGGGTACAGTGACGTGGCGACTGTGACACGTGGCAGCAAACTACTGGGCTGACATGTTGTTGACCGGTCAGAATGCTGACGTGACAGCTGACGTCAGCGTCTTCAACCTTCGGATGGCGCATGAAGGCGTGTGGACTAGCGGCGAGGCGCATGGTCTTCCGACGGTGGCGCGTGGAGGTGCGTGAGATGTTTTTCGGTGACGGGGAACCTCTTGTTCCACTTTTTGGACCTCCTGAGCACAATGGTGATGTTTGTTTTCTGAGAAAATGCCTGGTTTGTAAAAAGCGAAGACGTCAGGGACTCCTCCTCTGAATCTTTCTCTTTCCGGCGTACTTTCTCAATTGTAACTCACTCTTTCGCTCTCTGGACCAGCTCTGATACCAAAATGGCACAGAAACCGAATGAACAACAAGCAATTCTTATTCTTTCAAGTCTGCCTCTTTCACAGCCACAAGGGTCCTATTTATAGTCCTAGAATTCGTAAAATTGAACCATACAAATTTAAAGGGGGGTTACAGAAATTAAGGGGCGGTTACAAAGAGTTTATGATGCTCCATTATGTGTGTCTCCCGTTTTTTGCTTCATTATGTGTGTGCCTTCCGTTTCAGCTCGTTTCTGCTCTTTCCGTTTCAGGACATGATGGAGATTGACGAAATGGATCTGGAGTTGGTGGTGATGCACTAGATTGGTCACATGCTTGGACCGAGTCACTCAGCGATGGAGGAGTCCATTATGGACTCCTTTGTTCTGCCATATCGAAGAAAAGGAAGGTGGATGTGAGAGAGAGAGAGAGAGAGTAGAGAAGGAGATGGATAGGGGAGAGGGAATGAAGGAGAGAGAGAGAGGGAGAGTGGGGAGAGAGGGAGGAGATTGCACCTGACCGAGAAGTTCCTAAAGCAGAACCCAAACATGTGCGCTTGCGTGGCTCCTTCGCTTGATGTATGCCAAGATATGCTTGTGGTGGAGGTGCCTAAGCGTGGGAAAGAAGCCATGGTGTTCCATGCATAGAGCTTTAGTTCTTCTTGTTCATGAGTGTTATCGGGTAGAGTTTTTCTTGCTCATGAATGGCGTCAAGCGGAGGTATTTTGGGTCAAGGTCTTATGTGGTGGTTTGCATATTCTTATGAAGCACAACTAATTCACTCGGGGCTCTAGTGTTGTCTTCAAGTTGGTTCCCATAAGCACAAGTATGCTCTATTTAATTTCGAGCAATAAAATAGAGGTCTCTGAATATCTCTTCAAGCTCACTCGCTCAAGTAAGTCTAACTCACAATGGGGAGAGTGAGTTGGACGAGGAGAGACAAATAGATGAGGAAAGAGGGAATGGAGTAGAGGCGCGACTGAATCACCCTCATGCAGGTAGCTCGACTAGCACAATTTGCAAATGGTGGGAATGAGATAGAGAAGAGAGGGGGTTAAGAAGGATATGGGGCCCACATGTAACATTTTATTATAAAAAAATATAATAAATGTGGGACTCAGACACTAAAATTAATGGAAGTCAGGGAAGTTAGCGTCAAGGATACGAAGAGAGATAAAATTGATCCATAATTAAATTTAAAAATATTTATAATTTTTTTATAAAATTTAAGGATAAAAATAAACCTTAGATCTAAATTAAATATAATAAGTTCCAAAAGCTGATGATTCAAATATTTGGTGAGGAGTGGATGAGGGAAAAATTCTAACAGCCTCCCTAAAGAAAAAAAAAAGTCACGGAGAGCCCGATAAAAAATGTGCAGAAAAATATTGAAAGAGTAAACAAAAAAAAAATTGAATGGATTTGCATCGTTAATTTTTATGCCATATATTGATGTTATTGTACAAATGGTATAAGTCACAGCCCAATTTTGAACACTTTTACTAACTATTAGGGGTGTTCACAGGACGGGATGGGACTGGGATACCCCTATCCCATGTCCCGTCCCGAAAAAAAGATTGGAACTGAATTTTGATCCCGTGTCCCATCCCGTCCCGAAAGTCGTCCCGTCCCGTTAAGAGTTGGGACGGGGTCGAGACAAGATCGGGACGTCCCGCCGTCCCGATAAATGGAATAATGTCAAAAAAAGATCTAAATAATAACGTTCATTAAAATTTTAAATCATATAATTTATTAAGTTTAAAATCAAAACAACACAAGCACATAAATAACAATAATTTAAAATTAATTATTGAATTATATTAATCACAACTACATATTATAATAACAAATACAAGTGATCTTTATGCTATAAGATTAGCAACAACAGGCAAGTCAAATACAACATCAAATCATTGTTCTTCTACTTTAGTGAAGATATACTAAGCTAATTACTCTTTTAAAAATAAGCAAGAAATATGTTATAAATAAAAGTTATTAAATAGATAGATATAAGAATAAGTTATATTAATATAATTAATATATTATAAAGAAAGATATCGCCATGTTTACTCCATGCCATTAAAATTATCAATATAAAAAAATTTAGTTTTAAATAAGAATTGCAAGTGTTA